ATCAAAATCTTAACCTTAAGCTTCAATCCGTTTATACATTAAGGCATGTACTGCAGTTTCAACTATTTATTTTCTTGACAAAATGCTGCAGTGTGACTACTTAAGTGAAACCCAATTCTAAGCAAATTCGCGTCGTACTATTTGTCTTTCAAAATGAGTGGGTCCTTTTCTGTAAACTGTGTCTGAGGCGCGATCGAGGAGAGCATAAAATCGCTTCCTGCTACCTCCGATCGAGTTTGCATGCACTGCGCTAATGAAAAGACAAAATAATTGACAACCTCTAAATTCCATGCACAGTCAGAATTTAGTTATTTAGTTTCTTAATTTCCTTTTATCCTTAATCTCTTTACATCTGGAAGGTAAAGGCAACTTGAAAAAAGAAACAAAAGCAACTCTCCCCTTTAAATTAATGAAGACTCTGTCAATATATCCATACTAATCGTGAATATTCAATTCCAGGTAAAAGCCTTTTGTATTATTTATTTTTTCAGTTCTTTACTATTTTATCGATCTCTTTCTCCGCACCATTTGCCTCAATTTTCGCACCTTTCAAAGGATGAATAAATCTAATTAATTTCCCTCCACACATTTGGTAAATGAACCTTGAATCTTAGTATATGCAAAACTATTTTACACACTTTACTCCAACTGAAAGCTATTAAAGAAAAAAAAACACGCGGATTGAAAAAAAAAAGGTTAAAAGCCTTTTTCATCGTTTCATTGGACCAATCGATTTAACGTTTGTTTCAGGCGCGGCACTCAATTAGCCAACTGGTGGTTGCAATATTATTGTACACAGTCGAAGTTATTTTCATATATTTAAGCCAGCCTCACGGAACTTTACGAAACATTAAAATAATCTTCCGGGGGATCGTATTCCTTTACTTAACACGTAAAAGGGGCTTCAATTACTTGATAAAACACACCAACTCGTTCATTAAACCACACTTAAAAACATTTTCAAATTGAATTATATTAAGAAATAATACAATACTCCTAATAATTACTTGTTCTTAAATACGTGCGTCGAATTTATAAGGCAGTTTAAATTACAAAAAAGCAATGGAAACACTGAAGCCATAGTTTGCTTAATCAATTACTTAATTACATGTTCAACCATTTACAATTACGAAAATACACGTAAAAAGTAAAGAACTCGACGAACACCTGCCGCCCAACAAGCCAAGTTGTTTGGCTATGGAAGCCACTAGAAGAGTTCAATAAAAATGAGAGGAAGCAGTTTAGGTTCAAGGGAAGGTAAATGCATGCATCCGGGAGCGTGTGATTGGATTTGCTTTCTAGTTCTAAGACCATCATTATTATAGTGTTGAAAAGAGCATCACTGACATCCACAGTCATTTTTGGACACATGAAATTTGCGAACCAAAATCAGACATCAGGATTTTCGAAACAGATTCTTTCGTTCTACTACAATAACAAATTTATTCACATTCATATCAATTCCGTGACTGAATATTTTTATAACCTTTTTTTTCCCTTTTCCAAGAGGCTTTGGCAAAATATCAATCGCATACAATTCGTTCAAAGGTAAATCGTTCACCTATAATAGTTTTGAAGTGTTTTAGTTTTACAAGTCATTAAACCCTGAATAACAAACACTATAGGCTAAAGGTCTCAATTTAACCCGCTTTAAGACGATTTCATATGTTTACTTATTTCATGTTGGACAATTTCAATGCTGTAAAACGCATGAAAATCGTACACGCTTCAAGCACGAATCAAATTCTTCTAAATGGCCGCCACCATAACGCATAAGTCGGGAGAAGAGGTCAAAAGATCACTGTCTGAAATCTCATAAATTGTTTCCTTAACAATGCTATGACACTGTGAGGAGAAATTTGATACTGATCACTACTGGAGCTTACTGGGTTAAAAGCTTTCATTTTCAAAAACATCTTTCTTACACAAGCACATGTACTATCAAGATAGAAAAACATGTTTGAAAACCAGCAATAATTCATATCACTGATAATCTGCTGTTGGCTGGGGTCAGCACGGAAACTACTAAATAGGGAACGTGGTTTTGTCATTTAAGTTTTATTGTAAAAACAACTTATTTCAAAAGGTAATCAACCACGTCATGTAACTTACATAAGTGCGTTATCGCATTTATCAAGTCAATGAAACATTACATTTCCTGAGGAGCAAAATAAAAGGAGAAAAAGACTACAACAACAAGACATCAGATACGTTAGTAACCTTGCCCTTTTTTAATTTCTCATAAACTTGGCTCTGGGAATTAAACTAAAGCAGTACCTTAAAGAAAAGTGAACAAAACGCGGCAGCACTAGACGTATACAAAAGTACCGCCCAGTAGTTTTCATCGTAAATCAAACTTAAAAGTAGCTGTTTCAAACACAGCCTTAAACGTTAACTCAAATGTGTAGGGTAAATTTAACAGTTTACATACCGAGAAGAAAATGAAAGCTCGAAAAGAATGGCATTTAAATAATGCAAAACGAGATATGTGGGCGTCTTGCGAAAACGGATGTCGTTTTCTTCTTTAATAAGGGTTCTTTACCAACGCGGTTAAACTAAACTGATTAGATCAGTTCTTCCCAAACTTATTAATAATTGAAAAGGCACAGGCAAAGGAAAATCTTTCAAGCTGACGTGTTTAGATATCTTATCGAAACCTTGTCATTTTCGCATCCTTCATGCCTCCTCTTTAAGTAGTAATACCAAACACGAAACACGACGGGGTTTCGTCACATTATCAAACATTTTAAGTTCGTCATAAATGCTCTGCTACGCGTCGTATTCATTTTCAGCTCTTATTTTTAGTGTTTGAAATCTTATGAAACACTGTGACTCGTGTTGACATATTACATAATACATGATCATCGCCATAATTGTCAGTTTCCAAATTTCCATACAACAGATTAACATCCGAAAATGTTCTATACCAAAGTATTGACGCTTTTAGTATCGAAGTTGCCTATGGTGAAATATCAGTGCATTACATCCTATGATGTAATCATTTACATGAAACCTCTTTTCGAGGGCTTTTGTGATTCCCAGTATTTTTCAATTTTTCTCTGAATTTCGATCTTTAACACTGTCGTGAGTGAGGGGGTGTAAAAGGTGAAAGTGATTAATAAATGACTTCCCTACAACGTGAATTTTAGCGACAGACTGTTATTCAAGGGAATTCAAGCAACGGCGAGGACGACGACAGTGAAGCGTCCAGTCGATAAAAAAAATATACTTGCGTCCTTTCAAACTTTATTGCGTCTATCTTGGAACCCCCTCAATTTGTCATATATGGGCGATTTTTCAAGGATCGAGTTGAATTCTTTTGAAAGGACTTTATCCCGGTTCAAAAGAGAAAGGACAAGTCGTCATCGTATATTCACGTCCTCCATAAAACGACGCATTACGAGCGGTTTCACGTCGTAGAGTTGTGCAGTGGACGTCAAAGAAATGTACTAAAAGGGTGATTCACGTTCAGAGCCAGTGTTGTTTTGCTCATAAAACCAACTGTTTATTTTTTGACGTTGCCATTGCCGTTGTCACGGTTGCTTAAGCCGTGCTTAAGCTCTCTATTATCAAGGAACGACCATCACTCTTCACTGCCAAGAGCGGAAACATGTGACAAATCCTAGTTTGATGCCGTGGTCACAGACCAGACAGTGAAATCAGAGACTGAGCAAACATTTTTTTAAAAATTACGTCTTTACAGAGTCCCAAGGCTATTTTTTAATCAAAATCTTAACCTTAAGCTTCAATCCGTTTATACATTAAGGCATGTACTGCAGTTTCAACTATTTATTTTCTTGACAAAATGCTGCAGTGTGACTACTTAAGTGAAACCCAATTCTAAGCAAATTCGCGTAGTACTATTTGTCTTTCAAAATGAGTGGGTCCTTTTCTGTAAACTGTGTCTGAGGCGCGATCGAGGAGAGCATAAAATCGCTTCCTGCTACCTCCGATCGAGTTTGCATGCACTGCGCTAATGAAAAGACAAAATAATTGACAACCTCTAAATTCCATGCACAGTCAGAATTTAGTTATTTAGTTTCTTAATTTCCTTTTATCCTTAATCTCTTTACATCTGGAAGGTAAAGGCAACTTGAAAAAAGAAACAAAAGCAACTCTCCCCTTTAAATTAATGAAGACTCTGTCAATATATCCATACTAATCGTGAATATTCAATTCCAGGTAAAAGCCTTTTGTATTATTTATTTTTTCAGTTCTTTACTATTTTATCGATCTCTTTCTCCGCACCATTTGCCTCAATTTTCGCACCTTTCAAAGGATGAATAAATCTAATTAATTTCCCTCCACACATTTGGTAAATGAACCTTGAATCTTAGTATATGCAAAACTATTTTACACACTTTACTCCAACTGAAAGCTATTAAAGAAAAAAAAACACGCGGATTGAAAAAAAAAAGGTTAAAAGCCTTTTTCATCGTTTCATTGGACCAATCGATTTAACGTTTGTTTCAGGCGCGGCACTCAATTAGCCAACTGGTGGTTGCAATATTATTGTACACAGTCGAAGTTATTTTCATATATTTAAGCCAGCCTCACGGAACTTTACGAAACATTAAAATAATCTTCCGGGGGATGCCTCTGCACCAGTTTTACTAATCGGTTGATCGTGATCCAACGAGAAAATTTTCGAATTATAGTGCACTTTATATGAAAAAAGATGCGAGAGAAAAAGGTATTCTTTGTGGTATACTAATTTTAATTTACTTCATTTAATTTTTGGTTAGTTTAGGCATTTATTATTTCCAATCAGTGTTTCTAGTTTTGGTCGATTGCGGAGAAACTATTATCAACCTTAATGATCGGAGCAGTTGGGATTTTCGACTGTTTTTGATTCCTGGTAGCAATTTGTAAACAATCCATTGTCTAAATCTACTTCTTTTCTGCAATATTTACGAGTTCATGGATCTATTTAAAAAGTAGAATATTCAAAACTGTAAGCGAACGGTTCAACGCAGTCGCGAACTGAAACCCAGATTATTGTTTCTTTATTTCTCTAGCAACGCGTCGGGCAAAGTACTTGGAGATAGCTTGATAAATTTACGTACAATTTTCAAGCCAAATTTGATGCGTTAATGAAATTATCAAGGCAAGCATCTCGACGAGCAGTGCTTAGCCTAAGTTCACCTGCGCGTGTCATAGAGTGAGCAATACAAATACGACCGCATCTGAAGTGTTGTTTTCAATCTTACATCCCATAGGGTATCTAGGGGAGCCGACTTCAAGATTAGCTGCCGAGTGATTTGACCTCAGAAAAGAACAACTTGAAACACAATTTTTTGCTCGTGGAAGAAAAAAATTTGGAAGGAAACAAAGAATACTGTCGGATATTGTAGCTGGACTTCGAGCAGCCGGTCTTACAACTGATAACTTGGCGAGTTATACAGGATGGGCACGACTTCACAATTTGACGCGGCCGACAAATCGAGAATTTTGATAAACGTTGGAGGATTTCGGCACGAGACGCATGTATCAACACTCAAGAACATCCCTGACACACGACTTTATTGGATAGCAGAAAACGTTTTATCAGATAGCTCGGAAAAACGTGAGTTTTTCTACGACCGCCACCCCGGCGCGTTCACACAAATTTTAAATTACTATCGAACTGGAAAACTGCATTATCCAACGGATATGTGTGGACCAATGTTTGAAGAGGAGTTGGGTTTCTGGGGAATCGACGAAAAACAAATGGAGCCGTGTTGTTGGGCAACGTATACGAAACACCGCGAAGCAGAGGAGAATTTGAAGGAGTTTGTGGGTCCCGTGTTTGAAGATATACAACAAAATGACCTAGAGCGCTCTTCGTCTGATATCTCTGGCATTAATGAACGAAAGGACAATGTTTGGAAAAGAATACAACCAAAGATTTGGAATATTATGGACGAGCCGCACTCATCGCAACTGGCGAAGGTACACTGTTTCTTCTTATTTCACTCTTCTATATTTTAGATTATATTATTATATTTTTATTACTTTACTTTCCCCCATTTTACCACGAAACATTACAAATGCAAAAACTTCCGACCTTTTTTAATAGCATTATTGTTAACTTCTGGCTTTTTGCGGCTTACGTTTCAATAAAACTTATTTGTGGTTTTCGTTGCGTACCAGGGAAAAACCAGACACTCCTCAAAAAAATCAAGATATGTCAATGGCAGTAAATTCAATTTAAATTAAAACCCGTTTTTCTTTATTTCTATCAAAATTTAAGGAAATAGAGCTCTTGACTGTGGTATCAACGCCCCAGGCGGCTAGTTTCGCTGGAACCGTCTCATTCAGATTGCAAAAATTACGCCCGCAACAATCAATCCTCAATGCAAAATAGTCTAATCATTTTTTTTTTTTTTTCAAGAATAAGTTCCGAAGGTAAAGGTATGTAGACTTCGTTAATGGTGTTCGTATCTTGCCTCTCGAACTCGACATTTCTTTGAGTCGCTCGCCACTGGTTTCATTTTTTCCTTTATAAACGAAGACAAAAGATCAACCTTTATTTTTCTCAGCCAATTCTGAAAAAGCATTTTAAGATTGAACAGTAAACAGTAAAATCTCTTTATTTACTTTTTTTCCTACAAAGCAAAGACCAGGATGCAACTATAACACTTAAACGTGTTTCAATGCACTCTTTTGGTGGAAATCGATAAATATTATCCGGTTTGCACATTTGGCAATTTATAGTAAAGATAGTGGAAAAGAAATTGCTTTATTTCGCGAAATGCGGTCTGGGTAGTAAATATCACCAACGAGGCAAACGTGTTCTTTATTAAGCAGGGAAAATATGGAAAGTTCCCACTTTTCAGAGAGAAAAAAACAAAGAAGTTTAGGATATTATAGGCGTAAACATTGGATGCATTATCAAAGTATAAACGCATTAGGCTCAGGCAGTGAGAGTAGAGCTCAATTTCCTCAAAATAAACAGAAAGATACTTATAAGAGCGCCATTACAAAAAAATTCATTAAACGCTATCGCAAATATGCGACAAGCTAGCTCTTGTTGCCATCAAGCTATAAGCAGGCGGTCGATCGGAAAACGAATTTGACCACAAGAGCTAACATCATGGCGGATGTATCTTTAATTAACTATCGCTAATATAATTCAGGTTTTTAAAGCAGTCAATTTGTTAGCCAATAAGAACGCACAGTGAAACAGGTGTTGTTTACGTCACTAAATGTAATCGACGTTATTAATTGTATTGTGTTGACTTGTTTGCATTAAAAGCGCCGCGCTTAGAGGTCTTTTGTTCGCGCGATTAAATGCGCTAAAATTAAGCGCTTTCAGTCCCGATAAAGACTGCAAAAAATCCTCAAATCTATTGAGCAAAACATTTAAAAAACAAAGCACAACATACAATTGAATAGTAAGTGTAAATCTCGCATTCAGGTTTCCAAGGGCAGAGTCAAACATCTAATCATTCCTTTCAAATTTTAGCAAAAAGCTTCCACCGGAAAGTGCCTGTCATAACTTTTATTTCGATGGTCTCACATCAGGATTTATCAACACACTAAGAAGTTTTACATGTAACCACCATATACAGTTTAATGAAAAGCATAGAGAAAGACAAAACTAACAGCAAAACAGAAAAGTAGTCGGGAATTGATGACTCGGACTAAGACATAACAACCAGATTAGCCACTTGGAACCCGAATTTCCGGAAAATACAAGGTTTAAGACCATTTCAACGTCTCTTTCAATATTTCTGGTTCCAATAACACATCCCACACACTTGTCATAAAATCTGGGATATAAAAACTGAAATTCAGAAATTACGAGAAGTCTTTTACGCAATGCTTACACGCAGTTTTTTTTTCTGAAACTGATTCGTTCTGGAAGTTAACAAAAACCGAAGCCCATATCACAATAAAAGGCGCAGGGATAAACATGCAAAAGCTATCTTTTTAAAACCGACTAATCTTAACCTTGTCACTGCCAGAGCAACTGATAGAGTCTTCTAGGGTGGTTCTAACTATTGACTCTGAGCACAAAATCCTATGGTATGACCATTCAAATGAAACCTCTTCAGCAGTACTTTCACATGGTACTATTTATTTATTATGCATTTCTAACTTTTGTGTCTGTGGATGAAATCCTATGGTGTTACCATTCAAATAAAACCTCTTCAGCAGTACTTTCACATGGTACTATTTATTTATTATGTAGTTCTAACTTCTGCGTCTGTGGATGAAATCATGTGGTGTTACGTTCAAATGAAACCTCTTTAGCAGCACTTTCAGATGGTACTATTTGTTTTGTATGTAATTTTAACTTTGGAGTATATAGACAAAATTCTAAGGTATGACCATTCAAATGAAACCTCTTTAGCAGTACTTTCACATACTTTCCCCTCTCCCCTGTTGGACTCTCTTGGGACTAAAAGGAACGACAAGCCGAGTTAATTATCGGCAATTTCAGGTGCAACTCCACAGCCATGCACAGAAATCCTCTCTGGCAACTGCAGCTTTTACTCATCTTACGTTTCATTTAGATTATTTGTTTGTGATTTTTTGAGTGGAGTGTCAGTAAAAAGCTAGAGAAGCTTGGTGCACTTACACTATAAACATTGATTTGCATTTTACATTTACATTGTAATTCAAGGTGACTGTGTCCAATTCTTCTTCCAAAAACAGTCTCTATGACTGATTATCAGTCTCGCCTATTGCCTCTTCCAACACCACTTTCAAGAATTTTTTTCTTTACCATACAATCCCTTCAAGCTTATCCCCAACAACTCACCCTCAAAAAACCCATATGGGTACATATATGTAGTTCCCATTGGGTTCCTAAGTGTAAGACTCCCCATCTAGAGTGGGGTAGCCTGCAAGTATCAGGGCTTCCATTGGGGTTAGGAGAAAGGAGATGTGAGATCTTCCCTTTGAAATAAATAAATTCGGTTATTTACCCTTGGCAGCATTTCTAGCACTAATGCTAGTGGGGCCAAGCAAATAGCCTGAAACAAATAATCTAAATCAAATTTAACAGGGTTACGAATCCCAACTGGCAAGAGGCAAACCAGCTGGCTATTCACAAGCATGGCCAAGGATATGAACTCGGATAACCGAGAGCAAATCCAGATAGCAGTCAGGGTGGTACTTGAACTCAGAGCCTCTGAATTGTAAGTCCAGGGCTTTAACCACTTGGCCACGTTGCCATCTCTTTTTTGCTTTTTCTTCGCCCTTTCCCCCAGAAATACCTGATACCCGAGCTACATGTAAGAACGGGGTATCTAATTCAACATGTTTCCCAGATCAGGGTACAATGCTGAACATACAGCAGTATTGTGGGGATTTTAGGGATAATAAAACAAAAAATTCAAATGTAACATAACATGGTTAAGAATCCCAACTGGTAGGAAGCAAACTAGTTCGCTTTTTTACAAGCTCGGCCAAGGATATGAACTTGGGACTACCGAGAACAAATCCAGCCCGCAGTCAGGGCGGGACTTAAACCCTGGGTCTTCAGATTACAAGTTCAGCTCTCTAACCCCTCAGCCACTCTGCCTTCATTATAGAATGATCTACAATGACAATTAAAATTTGGCCTATTTCCAGAACAGGGTTCCATATCATTTTGAATATGCGATTTTCTTGACTAAAACAAGACACAAATTTGAAGACAGGTCCTCGGTAGTTCAATTTTACTGCTAGTGTCATCCACCAGATAAAGTACTACCCAGAAGGTAAATATTAGGGAAACCAATTGTGTTATACAGTGGATAGAGATTTATCCACTGGATAGCGTTATCAACCTTTCGAGTAACTGGGGCTTGTCAGTAAATTTCCACCTTCATTTACCCGAGCACCCACCCTGAGCTCAAACTACACCTGTAACACCCATTTTTGCTAAGAGAATGGTAGCAGTAGGCTTGTATGTGTCACATTCACTTCAGTTCTTGTAACAATACAAAATGCAAGATTCCACACCACCCCATACATTTATACATTTTATCACTTAATTTCTATTCATGTTTTTTCTACTTTTATAATTCTTGGTTTGCAATCACATGACAAGGCAGCCATGTTAGTGATCAATACGACAGAGTTTTTCTCAAAGAATTTACATGAAAATGGAGTTTAGTTCCCACAGGAGAAAGATGTTTCTGTTCTTGACCGCCAACATGGCCGCTGTGACGTCACTTGCAAATCAGCAATAAAATACAAAAAAATGAAAAGATGATGCAAAACTCAGCTGTGTATAGGGCCATGTATGAATTTTAATACCTTGAGAACACTGTATTTTTTTAGGGGTCGCGCAAGCAAACACACGCTAGTTTACTCCAGACAGAGAACCGCATAACAAACCACTTAGCTTATACTGTTACAGTTGATCGGAGAGGGAATGCATATGTGATGATGTCAAGTTAAACTATCACCACCTATTTTGAGCCGTTTGAGCAGCAGTTTGTAGAAAATACAAATCAAATCCCTCGTGTGCAATAATTATATTTCAAACGGACTCAAATAAAACGACACATAGGTTTCTTACCTTATTTTGAGCCATTGTTCCAGCGACACATCTTCGTCCGGGGAAATCACGCCAGTGGCACATCAACACAGAAATCCATATTACAAGTAACAAAGGGGGTATTTACCCACATAAAACTGTTCCCTGCGTTTTTTCTTCTTTTTTTGTTGATTCAACAAAGTTCCTGCGTATTTTTTGACGTTTTGGGGGTAGTTTTGAACAGTGCTTTCAGCTGAATCTTTCGCAGATTCAAAACAATCCCGCGCGATATCCCATGACTATGTAACCGCTCCATTTCAACTTTGTAACCTCACCATCCCATACCCAAAAAGCCTGGGATTGAGGACGGTAGCCCAATAAAATAGACCTCTTTAGCTTGTTTGTTTTTGTTTTTGTTTTTGTTTTTTTTTTTTTCCAATGAAAGTCACGCGATAATTGGATAACACTCTAGAAAACTGTTGCATTCAAATTTCGGACCTTCATTGGGAAGCTAAAGATGTCTATTGGTTTCCTCAGTAAACTAAGAAGGATAAACCACTTGCCGTGTGGAGGGTAAGGCGCTCTAAAATATGAATTAAAGCAATAATTCCAGTTTCAGTGACAAAAAGCCCCTTGCGTTAACCCTCGTCGCGTAAAGCAGGCTATCTCATGACCCTTCTGGTTAGAATCCTTTTTTACTGTCCTTCTATGTAAAAAAAGGCTTTTACACTTGAATTATTAGCCCGCGAAACGTGCCCAGCGGCGAGGAGCAAGGCGAAACGGCTGTTTTCGCAGACTACACAATCATTTGCTTTCTATTTTCTTTCACAGGTTGTGTCATATCTTTCTTGTTTCTTTATAAGCCTGTCTATAGCTGCATTCTGCGTCTCGACTTTACCTGGAATTCGCGAGGAGAAAAAAGGAGAAATTATGGGACATCAAGAAGGATTGGCCGCTCTTGAAATCGTCTGCAGCAGCTTTTTCACCCTGGAATTCCTGATCCGCGTGACATTTTGCCCGAAGAAAATTGAATTCGTTAAAAAGCCCATGAACTGGATTGATTTGATATCGATTATGCCATTCTACGTCAGGTATATCTATGATGATAATATGGTGAAAATGTTTCTTGTAATCCGAGTGCTGCGATTATTCAGGTATGGGATTATAGTCCTAGTAAAGGTGTTTTTGAGCGACGCACTTTAACCTAAAATGAGGTTTTTTGCCTTTTTAACATACCTTAACGCTACCTAATTATTACAGCCTAATGTGAATCTTTTATCTCATAGAGATAACTTGCCTGAAAATTTAGGAAAAACTGCTCCCAAATTGTAGTTTTTATCTTATGAGAAATAATATACAACTATCCCCCGACGGGAAGGTGAATAGTGATGGGTGTGCATGAAAATAAATTTCTACCCACCAGTAAACACCGACAAGCCACGCTTTCTTGGTATTTGTTTGTACGACTGCTTCATTAATCGCTAAAATTTCGTCTTCAGAAAATGCTATTCACTGATTTGGTAAATACTAAAGACATTTATTATTTTTTTATTATTATTGTTAGAATGCAAAGTCCACTTCCGGTTAACGTGCGTCGCTCTCGGAACATAACCTGCGGCAGGCGTAAAAAGGAGAGGGGGAAGGAAGAAAAGCCCTCCCTTTTCCCCTTCCTACCAGTCCCCTACTCCTTTAAGTGTTATTTGAAGTTTGACTTTTTGTTTTTATTTTTGGGGAGCGAGGGTGCCGCAGTGGTGGGAGCTCTCGCCTCCCATCTATGTGGCCCGCCGGGTTCAAATCTCGGCGACGTTGCGTTTCTTATTTAATGTTATTTCTTTTCTTTGCCATGAAATGGTTTTCTCCGAGCACTCCTCTTTTCCCTTCTCCTCCAAAACTAAAATGCCCTACCTCTAAAATCGTTATCTATTTTATTATTTTGATTGTTTGTTTTTTTGTTGTTGTTGCTTTTTTCCTCTCCGTTTTCTTTCTTCCTTTACTTTTGTTCTTCATAATACAGGGTTTGTCAAAATTTGAAATATAATGCAACAATACAAGCGTTCGCGCGCGCCAAAGTCAAAAGCGCAGCATTTATAGCTAGTCAATTGATGTCATGGTTGGGAGTAATGAAGAGATCTTAGAGTCGTTTCGCGTGTGTGATTTCTCTGAACCAAACAATTATGTCGTATTTGTTTATTCACTCAAAGAAGGCCAGTTCTATGAGCTAATAGGTATATAAACACTTTTTATTTTTCAGGTTTGTGAAACTGTCTTACGGATTACAAATCATGATTCACACACTGAAGGCAAGTTCACATGAGCTGGTTCTTCTCTTGTTGATTCTCCTCATCCCAGTTGTCATGTTCTCTAGCATAGTTTACTACATTGAAATCATGATCGACGAAAAATCCGAGTTCAGATCCGTTCCACAGTCATTCTGGTGGTGCCTCATTACCATGACAACCGTAGGTTACGGTGACCTTACCCCGCAAACGTGGCCGGGAAAAATCATCGGTGGCGCATGTGCTGTCTGTGGCGTGTTGATCGTTGCGTTGCCAATCTCTGTCATCGGCAGCAACTTCAGCTTGTACTATGCGCATGCGCAAGCGAGGCTCAAGCTTCCAATGAAACAACATCGTTTAGTGCTTGGGGGTGTTCCGGGACTGTTAACAAAACACCAGGAACTAAGCTCCCGTAGGAAGAAAAAGTCGGCCGCAGTGCCAAGTATCGACCCAGAGATGAGCATGGTAACCGAACGTACCTCGCTCAGATCTTCGATGCCTCACAGCCCTTTGCTGGAACTGCGTAGGGTCTCAAATAAGCATGCGCATGACTCGGAAAAAGAACTGGTCGGAGAAGAGGATGAGAAAGGTACCACATCTCCTTTGCTGAGGCCCAGTCCTCAGATGCAACCGAGAGGTGAGAAAGTAGGAGTCACCCTTCGTAAAGATATTAACACGGAATCCATCAGGAAATTGCGTAATCTTAATTTTCAGTGGACAAAAATCCTTGTACTAGAATGATTTAAACAATATCGCATTCTCAGTTTACATTTTTCAAGGGCTATAACCGTAATAAGTTATCTGTAATAACAAAAAAGAACATTTGTTATAAGAGCCCGAGAAAAGAAATGTCAAGTTTTACAAAATGACATCTTACACATGAAGTTTTCAGAAATTTACCTACGTTTTCACAATTCATGTGAAATTTGACGTTTATTTTCTCGGGTTCCCATGACAAATAGTTTTTGGTGTTATTACAGATAACTAATTATATATATAGCCCTTGAAAAATGTAAAAAAGAATGCGATTTTCTTTAAATTATACTGGTATAAGGAATTGTCCACTGAAAATTGAAATTTCTCAACTTCCTGATGGATTCCGTCTTAATCGCTTAGTAGGAGACTGGTTATTAAAGGTGGCAAACATCAAAGATAAAAGCAACGGTGCTACAGTTTACGCCCCGGGGGGGGGTACTGCCATATATGGGCTTTTCAAGCAGTTTACTCTGGGATAAGGTATATAAATCAGAACATTTGGGTCTAGAATAGGGTATCATTTTTTAGGAAACTGATCAGTTGGTTGAAGATTTTACCCAGACTAGGGATTGTGGTATAAGGTTTTGTTTTGGCTAGACTGTGCTAGTGACCTCCGTAGTTTCTGGAAAACAGCTACTTTAGGATAGGGGGGATTTGGGGAGTTTACTCTAGTATAGGGAAGCAAAATTCAGCTGCACGAGCTCTGGTATAGGTTAAGGGTTCCAGGGTCCCAGCGGCACATCCCCACCCAGAAATTCCTAAAGTAGCCCCCCCCCCGGGAGTTTACGTTGGAAGCTCCCTGACGGTTGACAATCCTCTTTTTTTTGCTATCAAATTGTGACGGAAGAAATTAAAGCAACGTATTTATTAGTAAATAAGATCAAAATGATAGGGATGTTATCTGAACGTTGTGCACCTTTAAGTCCACAAAAACATATAACAAAAGAGTCAGACAGAGTTCATAACTGTTCCACTCTATTAATTATGCTGAAAGGTCAGACTAGAGAGGCCGTAAAAGGCACTAGGGACTTTAAGGGCCTGATTACAAGGAGGTGAGGGACCCCAGGCAAGTGAGGTAAAATATGGCTGGTCACCCCACCTATCATGTAAACGTGATCAAATAAAAATGAGAGGTTATATGGACAAACGGGTTACCCCACCTAAACGGGTTACCTCACCTACCTGGGGTCCTCCAACTCCATGTAAACAGGCCCTAAGATCCAAAGACGCGACAGCAACGAGAACGTCGCTTAAAAAGTGAATTTGCGTTCTTTCAGTCTTAATCGCGATTATTCCTACTTACTTACTTTTGCAAATGTACGCGAACCCTCCTGAATTTGAATTCCAAGGGACCATATTCAAGTTCAGGAAGCGAAAGATAATTTCGTCGTTGCTTGTTTACGTTCTCTGTGCCATAAAACACGAAATTAGGCATTTTCACGTCGTAATCATCGTGCAAAAATGGCAAAGAAATGTACAAAAGAGCGTGATGCACGTGCAAAGTTGTTGTTTTGCTTATTAAACCTATTGTTTTGTTAGACGTCCTCGTTGACGTCGCGTCGTTCACTTAAAGTCCCTAATTTTTTTGAGTGATGCACGCCAACGGAAGTTAAAACTTTTTCCTTTTAATACGCCTTGGTGATACCAAATTTCTATTGCTAAGTGTCTTTACTCCTACATAAAAGATTTGCCCGCAAAATTGGGCAAAACCACTGCTCAAGAATGCAAAAAGTCCACTTCCGGTTGACGTACGTACGTCCTCTTCCGGTTGACGTGCGTTGGTCAGAAACGTCTTTACCACTGAGGAATAAAAGCCGTGACCCTAGGTTAACAAAATATCAGGTTTTAATTCGGTTTGATGCTCCCTTTACAGGCCAGCCAGACAAAGTCATATATTCAAGGAGAAGACCGCGGCGAACATCCGGGACGCTGCAGCTTCCACGTAAATCCGTCCAGGAAGAAATTGAAGAAGGAGAGGAAGTGCAGCAGCAAGCTAATGCATTGTCACATGACCTATCACGTGCAAATCAAGTGACCACTGAAAACCAAAACAAGAAATTTAGCTGCAATGCAAATCCTTCGCCTGACCGGCCAAATTCAGATCGGGAATCAGTTGCCATGGTTCAACCTTTTTGCAGGGCGCATTCTCCGATTGGAAATAATCTGAAAGAAAAAGATGTCCAGAATACTGTCAAAGAGCAACCGGATCCCTTTGATTCTCTGGAACGTTTACAAAAAGAAAATATTCGTGCAAAGTGGTTTCTTCAAGACCCGAATTCTCAAGTGCCTACAGAAAAAGCCACCCCAATCATAGTAAACGGAGATATAAACTCGTTTAATTCATCGCAAAGGCCTTTACTGGGACAGAGCCCAGGGTCAACGGAGGAATTGGACAGCAATCAATTATATCCCATAAGTCCACTAAAGAAACGAAAATCCTTTTCGGACTCTCTTTTGTGTACGGTTCCACAAGATGAAGATCAGAGACAAAGAGGCGATTTGGTTAATGGCTTGCCATCTGACCATAGCATAGATAGAGGAGGTAGTTCAGTCAAACCCAATTCAAAGGAATCCAATTCTCCTAACTCTCAGCAAAAAGGATCCCCTTTATCCAATAAAAAGGTATTGAATACCAACGGACCTTGCAGTAAACATAGTGACGAGGAGACAATTTCGTCTCGTAACAGAACTACGACACACCCATGTTATGATCCATTGGATTTTTCAAAAAGAAGACGGAACGCCGCGTGTACAGTTGGAATCTTGCCTCCCTCTGAGAGAGGTAGTGAGAGTGATTTCTTGGAAACGAATATTTAGTACTATTTAGGGTGTGGTTATGTTAATACTACAGGTGGAGAAGCCAAATAAACAATTTTGAATGCTCAAGTTCATGATGACAAAACGAACGGATATCAGTAGAATTATATAACATTAGGGCCATTTATACGAGGGAAAATGAGAAGCGTGTTTCATTAGACGCTAGACTAGCTAGAAGTCGACCTCTCATGAGTTCTTAAAAGCTAGCGAAGCGAGCTTCAAAGCATGACGTCGCTCAGCCACCTCGCGAGCGACGAAGTCTCGAGGTCGACTTGTTTCGCCTGAACGGATTTGAATCATCTTATTTATTCACGCGGGAAAAAAATATGATTGACATATGCTGTGTCGGGAGCGGCGTAAAATATCACTCACTGTCCTATTGGTCAATTGTCATGACGTCACCGGTAGAATTTTCGACAGGTGAATTTGGCGCCAAACAGGTATGAACAGTCCTTTAAAATGGCATAACCAACAAATAAATAAAGGACTTTTAGAAAGTCTAATTAGACGCGTCGTGATTAAGACGCAAACTATCCCACAAGACGCGACTTAGCTAAGACGTGTCTTATCTAAGAACAGTTGTTAAGGGCCGTTCTTAGATAAGACGCGTCTTACTTTTCCTCGTATTAATGGCCCTATTGTTTAGAGTTGTTTATAGTATTCCATTGCGGTCATATATCTCTTGTCATTTATATTGGAGGAGAAAGTTCCTCCTGAATTACGAAGAAATAAGAAGCACGTTTCAAGTCAATAAATACATTAACATATTTTTCTTGGTTTTATGGTGTTAGTTGATTCCAAAGTCGGGTCCCCTCTTAACAAAGGTCCGTTTTGGTCAGAATCTTTGCGATGCTTTGCATTGCATTATGGCGACTTCAGTTATAGACAAAGCTTCAAGATGGCGCATAAAGTGCTTTAATTTATAAAGAGTTCAAATTTAAATCAAGATACTCAGGGTTCTCAGAAATATGAAAAATAAATCTGACGTTCTTGTTATATCCGTTTGTTTGTTTTCTAAGTTTTTGCCAACGAAAGGAAACTCAAAGTTTAGTTCTGAGACTCCCGCTTCGACGAAAGCTTAAAACCGACCGAACAAATACATAACAACAAATTTTAACATCTTCTTTAATTAACATCGAGCGCTTTTCTCATATTTTGACCTGTTTATTAAAACAGGCTTGATCGCTCATTTAGATAGGCTAAACTCAGGTCAACAGTTCGCTCTAAGACCAGTGGGTGGAAAGCCTGTGGGAACAACAGTTCGCACCATTAACAGAGGGTGGTATTCCTGTGAAGTGACAGTTTATTTGAAAAGAGGTTTAGCCTTATAATGTACGGCGATTTCGACCAACAGATTATTGTCTCTTGTGTTGACTTATTACTATATGCATTAAATCCGTGATCTTCAGTCGTAAGAAAGCTATCGAGCGATCGCTAATCTGCGTGTTTTCATCGATTTGTCAAAAGATCGAAGTGGTCACATAGCATATGACACAAATGAGCCACAGGCGATCAATTGCCTGTTGAGCAGTTTGCCTTTAAAAACAATTTTTAATAACCAAAACGACTCTTTGAAAGGCATATATAATGGGAGAACGGGGTATAACTTAATGACCCACCGGTGATCACGCATCAAGGGCAGATAAAATACCGCGTTCAATTTACGAACCGACAGGTGCAGGGAAGTTGCCGTCAATTTATGCAGAAATACACCTCTCTCACAGTTGTTTATCTAACGACTCAAAAAACCTTTTAAGAAATGACTTTTTGATTTTGCTAGCTACAATTATATGGTATATCTACGAATTTTTTCTTACAGTTGAGGTTGTTAATTCTTAAGCTAAGATAAGCTTATTGGCGGTCAGTAATGTTGAAAAACCAGGATCTCGACAGATGCGTAGGTTTGTCTTAATTCGATCGTGTTTTATTCATTCGCCCGCCAATCATGAATATTTTACCATTTATAGTCATTGGTGACTGCTGTGTACGTTGAGTTGCTCTCAGTTATTTCAGTCTATTGAAGTCGACCCTGAACTGAATCTTAATTGCCGAATGCAAATGGCAGTCCCTCCAAAGTCTAAACAGATATTGGTACCCATTGATGATAAAGAACATTGCGTTCGGGCTTTTGACTGTAAGTAAACTAAGCAGATAGTATTTGCCGCAACGCTGCAACAAATGTCAACAAATTCACAAACTAACAGACAAACCAAATTAACTGAACGGCTGACCGTAGATCAGCCTTGACTTACTTACAAAAACTGCAAGCAAAATACTAGAAGATGAATCCTCCTAATGTATTTACAATATGCATGCAATACTAAAGCAAATTGGGCAGACTTATTGACATTAAAAATTCACCATTCAGAGAAAAACGGGGCAAAGACAATTTTGTCCCCGATGTTTTCGCTATGTGTTAACGCGTCGCTATCCAGATCTAATTTGTTTTTCTTTAGTTTTAATTTTTGCCGAATAACGATGGTGTTGCTACAGCGTTAGAAACAGTATTCAAACTGAGATTCAGTATTGTTTTCGTTATATGTCCTTATTATAACGAGAGACTCGAATGTTGTTGAGGGTTACCTCCGTCACTTTCGTTCGGTTGTATCTAACAGGAAAAATTTTTGTAGCGCTTTTATGTAAAACATTTTTAATCCATCTACAGCTAAGGAACTTTATATTGTACTTTCATGTATCAGCAATGACCGACGTTAGACAAGGAAAGCAGAGGGCGTAAACATCCACAGAAAATTTAGCTAATAAACTAAAGACGCTGATTAGTTTTTTACTTGAAAGGCTCACACTTGTACTGTTATAATAAACCTGTCTTTTTTTTTAATTTTGTTTCCTGAGTATTACAAGGGATGTTGTTGCCTTCGACTTTGAATGGCTGAGTTCCTTGAACTGCTTTTAAAATGCACGAGACAATTCAACTTTTGACAATTTTCGAGCGGCGGAAGATGTCCTCATATACTGAACATGTATAGAATATCTCGCCTTCGGCGCTAATTTGTACTCACACACTCATATAAGCGTGCTGCAAAGACCTTAGGCTTAGTCGGAGTTGAAACCAGAGCGAGAATTGTCGCGACAGAAATGAACGCTTTTTTATCGCCAAGCAGCTTTCGATATGAATGTTTTTCCCAGCCGAGATCAAAGATAGCTAGTACTCTACTGCTGCAATACAACTTGATTCTGTTTAATACAAGGGGAAAGACTGTTTCGATTTTTAATTTTTTAAATCGGAATTTTGTAAATAAGGTTTTATAAAGAAAAAACTGACAGAGAGGAAAACCGCTTGCACCAAAGGTGAGCTCCTCAGGAAATTAATTAATCTTGATCCTTGAAGAGGAAATGGGTTGTCAGGATTCTAAGAAACCTTTTTGAATGTATTTGCTTTTATCGTACAATTATTGCTTTGTAGCAGACGCTCTGCACTTAGAGACAACATTTCTTATTGAAATTAACTTCTTGGACTCGCGTCCAGTCGTACAATTCCATTTGGGAAGCACTGCGGCGCTTAACAAACCGCTTATTTTCGGCTATATTAAGTTTTCAGACATATATCTTAGACTGTTATTGGTTTTCAAATGATCATGTGACTTTAACAAAATTCAAATACGTATCACGTATCACGTGTCACGTTACTTGCTATCTTTTTAAAAAAGCTTCAGTTTCGTTATTCAAGACTATGTTTAGGAACTGAAACTGTTTCCTGAGTCCTGTTGCTACGGATCGATGTCAAGGATAGACATAGATTGAAACTTGACAAAAAAAATTGTTCAAATGCTGTGATGTGCCTGCGAAATTCAATGCTTGCTGATGAAATTTGTTCGATATCTGTTCCATAACAGCTCTACAGAAGTGTTTTGTGTACGGTTTAAGACACTTTCTAAGTAACGACTTTGGCAAAGAATAAGCCTAAAACAGCAATATCCTATGACACAGGCTTCTTTAAAGCCCGTTTACACCCTCACAATCGACGACAAAATTATTTAAGATAATTTGCCCTAAAGACCTTCTCTGATGTTTTGCCACCCCCTCCAGGCAATGTTGTGCCATTGTTAGAGATAAATTTAGAAAACATCAAACCCCCCAACTATGGGGGAGTGGGGGAGGGATGTTGATTGTTTTTGTTATCCGAAGTTATCCCATTGGAGGATATTGTCTCAACAATTTTGTCACCGCTCACTCGCTCGTTCTCGCGCAGATCGTTTTGTTCGCCCACATGATAGGAGAGCTTGCCCGCAGGCTACCAATTGCACGTACTAAAACAGGGAACACGTGAGACTCAAAAATCATCAAATGGGCAGAACAAACAGAAAGAATAGTTACATTTTTACTGGTTAGGGTTAGCCTTCCGTTTTGTCTTTTCCACTTTACCTGTTGCAAGGTTTTCCAGATTGTTCCGATCGGTGGTGTTCCGGGGCTTAGGACATTCCGCTTCTAAACACAGGAGTTTTGGTACGATTTTTGACGCGATTTCGAGATTTCTTGAGGATTTTCCAATCTTTGTGCAGAGATTATAAGAAAGCGCACCTGATGTAAACATCAAGGTATATAATCTCGTACCCGTAGCAACAGGCTGCCACCAAATCTGGCCAAATGTGTATGTGCTACCAAGCAAGAATGGGATTTTTCGCACTTTTCTGTTAGCCAAAATCAAGGAAATTAGTGATTTTAATATTTTACAGCTTAAGCATGATGATATTTTTGAAAATTCCAACCCCACTTTAAAGGAAGTTTAAGGTGACGTTACACGGGACGATTCGCAACACTGATTTTTGATATAGCGCAACTATACGACACTATTTAGACCGGTTGCAACATTGTTCCAATATTTTTTTCCTTGCGCGGCCGCTCCCCGTCGTCGTTGCGTACGTTCACTAATGTTTAATGTAACGTGCTCATTCAGAGCCAACAGGGAGGGATAAACAGTCCTTTCAAATAATTAAAGGCTTTGTACAGTTCTTTAGGCAAAAAATGAATAATTAACAATTAGTCCTCGAGCCCGAATGGGCTCTGAGTCAATAGCCCATGAGGCCGTATTGGCTCAGAAGCCATGAGGGCGACACGAATAATTGTTTCAGTAAAATCCAACTAGTTGGTCAAAAATATCGCGACAAAACAACTTTAGCTAGCAAAACGCGATTCAGCAGCTATCGTTCTGGTTTTTAAAGCCGGCGCTTTTCGTTACTAGTGGGCTAAAACATATAGCCTAATAGTAGCTCAACCAATCAGAACTCAGCATTGATAATAGACCACTAGTTGGATTTTACTAATACTTTATAGTCAATGCAGCAGTTATCTCTACCAAGAGTCTGGCTGCTGTAGTTTCAGTTAGCTTCAGTTGTTTGCTTTGTTAAAATACTTTTCCGAACAGGGTACCTCGAAAACTATGGCCCAGATAAACAGCATATTATTTTGCTACATGTCTATAGTTCACTTAACCACGTCAAGCAGTCGAGCACGGACAGTGATTCCGAAGGTAAGATGGCAACCTTTTTCCCAGATTCTCTCCTACCCGTCCTTACGGAGCGAGAGAACCTGAGAACGAGGTTGGTAAGATCTTTACGGTTTCCTACGGGTTGTACTATATATGTTACCTAGCCTCCCCAAAGACGTCCGTTGGGGTTCGTTTGTCACGCATTCATTTCTCCCCCACGGAGACAAACGAACCCCAACGGACGTCTGCGGGGAGGCTATATGTTACCCTGCAAGCAGAAGTTTCTTTCTGGCATGGTTTTTATCATTTACAAAGTTACTTGTTTTGAATTCATTAGCGTTCATGGCTTGTTTACTTCCCAGGAGAAACTCGAGGGGGTAAACAAGCCAGCTAGGCGAATGGGTGACGCGAACGACCCCACAAATGCTCGGTTCAGCCATACCGGAAAGAAACCTCTGCTCGCAGGGTATACTATGTTTGAAAAAACGTCTTTTCTTCTTTACTGTTTCCAAGGGAAACTTTGATTCCTAGCAAGAACGATTCCGGTTTTTGCCCCTTGACTAGAATAAGTGTATCGATATCGTAGAACCTTGTGAAGCTCGGGTAAGGAGGGATATTTCATTATTCAACAGTGATTTCCATTGAACGATTGTTCGTCATTATATTTACCAGACTGTCTTTAGATAAGTTATATACTTGATAAGAACGGGAACCGATCGTTTGGACGGGCTCAAAATCGGACTGAAGCAAAAGTTTTAGAATTGCATTAACTCACCCCCAAACACAGTGCTTGTGGCCAAAAAGATGCTCAAAACAGTAACAATTGACTTTTTGTCAACTTTGACAGATATTTCTGATATCCAAGAGGCTGACTTTAAGAACCTTATGGAGGCAGCCAAAGAACAAGCCAAAGTTATGCTTGAAAAGTTTGAAGTAAAATGCAAGAAAAATAAGGTGGGTGTCGAGTGTTGATGATGGTGCTCTTTCCAGTTCTTGTACTTAATTAATACTAGATACATGGACATTACAGCCACGAGGTTAAAGGTTAAATGGCCGTTACAACAGGCCAGGGTAAGGCTATCAAAGACTACAAATATCAATCCTGTACAACTGTGCGCCTTTATGTCGAGAAAAAACGTTCACTCTCGGAATTCTTCACAGCGTATCAACACCGATAAATGCCAGGGTAATCAACTTATGAACAGAATTGACACGTCCCAGTGTAGAACGAGCATTTAAATTTTCAGTTAAATATCAATCCTGCTATAAACCCCTACACTAATCGTTTGAAACCAAGATGGCCTCCCGTAACGGTACTTGCTCGATCTCGATGATCCTACGGAAAAATAGGGGACTGTGAACAGTTTACTCCTTCCCTTTCGCGTCTTCTCTCGCGCGCGTTTACTTCGTTCGCGCGTGCAGGCGTAACATGCTTGCCCACGCAATAATCTGAGCGGCAGCTAGCAGCCTAGGACTAAAGTCATAATCGGAAGTTCCCATTTTCATTTCAGATACCTGTTAAAACCAGGATTGAGCTCGGCTCACCAGGGGAGGTCATTTGCAAGGTCGCCAAGGAAGAAAACGTCACGTGTATCTTACTAGGCAATCGTGGACTCGGTGCCTTCAGAAGAACCATATTAGGAAGTGTTAGCGATCACGTGGTTCACCATTCACGATGTCCGGTTATAATTGTACCACCGCGAAGTGAACACAAATCTTGAAGGCCAAACTAGTCAAACTGGCTTGTATTTCTTAGTATATGGGTTTTTGTAAGAATTATATACTTAGTCTAAATGGCGTTTTAGCTTTTCAAGGCCTTTTATATTGTATGGGGCGAATCATGCGTCTTAACTCGCCGTTACATAGTGTCGGCTGACACATCTTCGGCCTAAGGCTGAAATCCAGCGAGGCGTGCGGAAACTCTGCATGAAAAGTTCCTAGGCCCGAAGTAATACGAGAGGTTGATTATAACTGTAACAACAATGTATTTTATTCAAGGTCCATAAAGCTTACAACACTTAATGCCCTGCAAATAGCTATAGCGCTAATCTAGGCAGGACAAAAATTGTAAGTAAAAGCGTTATTAAATTACATATTTAAAAAAAAGGAAAAGAAAAGAAATACAACAACACATAGAATGCAAAATGTGACGGGTAAAACTACAACTAAAAAAAAATAGTCAAAAAATAGTCAGTGATATATATATTTTTTTCACGTCTATTTGTGGTTACCCTGCTACGCTACCAATGCCTGGAGAAACCACTGCTCGCAGGGTAGTTTGTGGTAGACTTTTGTGAAACATAGAAGGGATCAATTTTGTCAGGATTTTGACGAAATTTGACAGCCTCCTTTTGCAGTAGCCTATTCCAGGCGTTCGGATTGTGGGGTGAAACGCGAAGTGAGAGAGCGGGGAAATTATGAGGAAAAGAGGGAGAGGGAGAGCTTTTTTAAAACCCCGCTCTCATCTGCCTGCGCCGTCCCCACAATCTGAAAACCTAAAACAGGCTACCCTCAGACACACGTACCAGAGAAGTACCAGAGGGGCTTGAGTAATCTCGTACCCAGATCTCCCACGACCAAAAAACAGAGTGATATCTGGGTACGAGATTAGGGCTTGAGCAGATAAACAGTGCATGATAATTTGCCTCTGGAAAAATCTTTCATTGTAACAGCACAGCAGGGGTATTCAATAGTGACACTAATTTCAGCACTGAAGCACACTAACCAGAGACTCGGCGGTATGGCAAGTACCTTACGCATGCGCAAAGTTATATCACCCGAGCAGAACCGAGCAGTGGCAGCAATTGACTCAAGAGTAGTCTGAAATGTCAGCCGTCTCCAGGTCTCCTCTCCTAACCCGAAGGGAGGGGGGTTGGAAGACAGAGACAATGTGTGTTAGGTGGGAGGGATGACAGGGCAGTCTGGTCCACATATTTTGTTACAACAGGACTATTGCACAATGACGTCATTTTAGTACAACTACCAGAATCCTTCAGTTTGCTGTTTTCTTGTGCAAAGTAGAACTATTGTTTTTTAAACCGCAGAGGGATTGACAAATTTAAATAAGAAAGCAAAAGCGAAATGAATTCTGGTAGTTGCAGTCAAATGTCATCATCGTGAAAATGGACAATTGGTGAGGAAGAATGTCATTCGTAAAACCCAACATTTGTCATGTTGGGCTTTGCCCCTTTTGTCAACTGTCATATCTCTTTTATTACAAGATTTTCATCAATTGCCGCCACAACAAGATTCATTAGATTCTTAACACGTGCAACCATAATAGCCCACTTTCGAGATACATATTATATATATATTAAGATTTCAAGAACATGTCTCCGAGGCTTTAGGGACAAAAATTTTTCACGAGTCCATTGTCTCGCAATTCCCAGAAGAGACGTGAGCACAAAGAAAACCAAACCAATCATGGAAATATGACCAGAAAGCATCGCATTCATGTTAGCATTTTAATATATCGAACGTGGGCTATTAGAAATTAATTTATTAATTTATTCTTGCTGTGGATGTGGACTTTGCAAATTATAAAACGTAGCCACCAGCAAATCTATTAGCTCTGAAAAGAAACGATATCAGAATGCCAAGACAAAATTCAAATGTTTGAAATTTTACGATTGCCAAAGCATTTGCTGTGACTCCCCTTTAACTAAAAATTCGAAAACAAAAAAATGATTATCATAATTTTTATGCCGGATGAAAAGTTTTCCATTTTCACTGAATTTTCCGTGCGATTCACCGTGACTGAAATACAAGTATCTCCATTTTTCTTTTAATTATTTATTTCGTAGAAGGCCTCTGTTTGGGTTGCTAATCGTATTCAAACGGAAATCATTATCAAGGGAAAAAAGTAAATAAGACGAGGTATTTGTCTCCGGTGCGTTTGATACTATCGAAACTGAAATTTTGCATGTAGACTGGCGCGTCCATCAGATCAAGATGCCTTCGACTAATGGTACAAGAACTATACTGATAGCAGTCGATGGGAGCGAATACAGCGAAAAAGCGTTTGAATGTAAGTTATACAAAAATCGCTATAAACGCTATGCATTTACTAGAAATATTGATAGATTTAAAGGCCCGTCAGGCCTTTTCGCGATTCAAAATGGCTATATTTTATTTTATTTGTATTTATTTATTTTTTGCTTTGGGCTAAACTCTCTTTTTTTGCTGTTGTTGTTGTTTTTTAGCAAAGATACAAAAAGGTAAATTCATATTGACACTAGTTAACCGGAAGAATTCTTGAAAAACAACAGAAATGAAACTGAATATAAACCTGACAAGCCATGTGTATCGCGGAAAAAATGCCAAAAAGCCCGCATTTTCACTTTTCATCTGTACGTGGTTTCAATTGAGCGCCCGGTCTTGCCCAAATATTCCGGTATTTTTTCCATAAAAAAGAAAACTGCTTTTAAGAAACAAATAAAAACGTGCCATAGTTCATGGGCTACAAATATTACCAGACCACAAAGGATCAAAACATATTAATGAGTACGTGGATAATTTCCTACACTAGTCAAGCCCTAATAGCGGGTTAATTACACCATTGCTGAATGTCTATGTTGTGAGAAAATAATCCACAAATCCTAGGTGCTCTAGTAAGAAGCCGAAAGTATGTCCCACAATGACATTAACATTTTCTATACATGAAATGAGAGAATCAGTTTGCTTCGCTACACCCATGCACTTATATTAACGCTCGCCTAGGGTGCAGCCTGTAGCTCTGTTAGACCAAGGTTTTACCGTAATCCGCAGAGTTTTGCTGGAGAAAACTATAATTCACCATGATGTCATCAGTCGTAAGCGTTTAGGTCTGTGAAAGAAAGCAAAAACTGTGTTCATTCAGTGAAAGAGATCGGAAGAAAACGAAGATTGTATTTGTTGTAGTCATAACTTTTATTGCCCTTTAATTCACGGTAAAAGTGTTGTGGTATTGTTTCATTATCGCCACATTTATGAAAATAAAATAAAATAAAATAGTATAATTTTGTATGGGCATTAACAAATAGACCTCCTTCTACTTGCGACGTTACTTGAGGCATGTCGAGGGCGTACAAACAGAATTTTGTCAGTGAACTCATTTGAAAAGTACTCTCTCCAATTCCCCTTGCTGCAAGGGCACAAACATAAATATTTAACACTGTTTTCGGCAGTAGAATTAGTTTTCCCATTTTTAATTTTCATTTGCAGACATAACCATGATTGCATTTCATATTTTCATATCACCATAATTGTTTTTCATGACAACACTGCGCGTCACCTGCACTGAGAAAGCGGCGAAAGCAGGTGAAATCGTCGGCGGGTAGTCGTCCATCTCCGAAACTTTCCGACGGATTGCATAAAGAATGTTCTTAGACTTTTTATTTGTTGAGAAGTGAGAGATCCCTAGTAAGTGCTCGTTAACGAATCGATCATTTTTCGGTTATTTTCCGTCTGATCTTCGAGATGGTTACGGGCAGCCATCTTGGTTGCAAATGGATGTGCGGAGTTTAACCAAGAGAATAGTATCAAATCTACCAAGGGGGTGGCGGTGGGTGGGAGTGAAAAATCAGTTTTTCTTGCCTTCTTCCTTCTTCTGTTTAACCCCCTCTCCCCGTCCGCCTCGACTCTCGACGATCTTAAGGGAAAATAGGGGACTGTAAACATTTTATTGAGATCTCCGAGTTCAGGGGCATGGATAGGATAGAAGGTCTTACCAAAAAATCGTTGCGCAGTAGTAAACTTTTATACAAATGAAGATGAATTGCCTCCACAAAACTCGTACATCATTCTTTAATTGCCATTTTTTCGGTGACTTTAAGTATGACTATGATAACAACTATGCGAATAATATTACAATTATGATTATGATTCCAATTTTTTTTCCCAACATTCCATTTACAAACTTTGCTAATGCATTGCAAAGGGTGCAGACTATTAAAGGTTTTATTCCGTGTCAGAGAGAGCCTTTCAGGACTTCGGCGTCATTTAGTTTACAATATAAAAAAACACGGAACGATGGGTGTGCTATATGTTTTCTCGATAACTTACAGGGTATGCAGATAGATTCCGACAGGCTGAGGATCAAGTTGTGTTTGTACATGTGTACGAAGCAGCCATTACTCCACCTCCGACGTTTGCACGTAAGAGACAAGAACAATAAAAATAGAATCTATCTATCTAGTGTCTCCCACTAGCAACTAGTTAAGGTAAACAAGAATGCATAAGAAGTGAAACGGCGAGTAAATAAAAGGCAAGAGGGGAAAGTCCTCTTATCTTTTTCCTTCCCATTAATTTCCCACTCGTTTTCCCAGTGATTTTGTGCCCTCAAGAAAAATCATTAATTGTGTGAAGGATCACAAAGCGAGCCATTTAAGAGACTGTAGGCCGTGATTTCAGGAAAGTCTGAGTTAAAACATAAATGTAGTGTTATTATCACTGAGGTATAAATTACAAAATGTAACTTTTTTGGACTAGAAATGGTTGTCCATTAAAATTCCTTTTTTGTGGGGAAAGCTGCGAAATCTTGCCATAACATTTAAAAGAGTCGTTTTTATGTACTGTAAAATCACTATTTTTCCTTAAGACACTACGAGCCTTCCGTCGAGAGAGGAATGGGAATTGATGCACTTGAAAGCTGAGAGAAAAGCGAAAGAGATGTTGGCAAAGTACGAGAAGAAATGTATCGCAAAGAAGGTTTGTGTCAAGTAGAGTAGATCGTAGTAGTATCGTGAACATGTTATAACGGTCTTTGATTATTCTTCATAGTTTAAAGGTGATATAGCAAAGTTATTTTAGGCAGTTTCATCACATGCTGAAATATCAAAATAACGTTTTCAAACGTGGAAGGGCGGGAGGGGAAGAACGGCTCCCAGCCAGTTTCCTGACTTGCTCCCGGTTGTCCCTATTTGGATCTCGCGGAAAGACGGAATGCGAGAAGCGTGACCAAAGGGACCGCGAGATGTGATGGGAAGGAGGAAAACGAAAAGTTCTTCCTCCTTCCCATCACTCCCCGCGCTCCCCTTGACCGTGTTTCTCTCTGGGAGCCTGAGAAACGACCAGGGACGAGTCAGCCTACTGCCCACACTCTCTTATATTCGCAGATCACTTACTTCGTTGTTAATTTCTCTAGCAGCCATTTTGAATATTTTAAAAGCCCGGAACTGAGAATTTGGGTTAGTGTAAAATCAAAGGCGACCGGAAGTTGATTCGATAATGTCGCACTAACTACTTGCAGATTTTCAGCCCGTTCGAAATTAAAGGAGATGCGCCGGAGCCGATCGCGCGATTTGGTGCGCAAAGAAAGGTGGATGAACACGGATCTTCTTTGTATCAATTAAGTCAAAGCATGTACAAAAGCGAACCCGTTAACTGACAAAGCTTTTCTTTATTTTAGCTGCCCTACAAGACTATTTACGCTCATGGGCCAATTGGTGATGTGATTTGCGCAGCAGGAAACAAAGTCAACGCCGAGTACATCGTCTTAGGAAACAGAGGACTGGGGACCATCAGACGAACCATTCTTGGCAGTGTGTGCGATTACGTCACAAAGCACATGAATGTACCAGTTTTGATGGTTCCAACGACAGCGGAGAATAACAATTCAAGATAAAGTTACCTCTTAAAAGTAGCTTCTCTGTGGGTTGGATCTCAAGGGAAATAGCTCAACTAAAGGATAAACTTTTTTTTGATTTTTGTTTTGTCTCGTCCCACGGGAGGGTGTAGGGAAGACCCTGGGGACGAGGTTGCCTCGTTTCCAGGGCATTTAAAAATGAGAAGGGCCTGGGTTAGGGGTGGCACGATAGGATTTCTGATAAGTTTCAACAACATGAAAGTCATGTAGCAGCTGCTCGGAAGAGAAGTCACCAGTGGAGCCTAACCCTGACCCCTGACAGTACTGAAACAATTGAAAGAATGACATGTCATTGCTTTCTGGTACCAGTTGGGAGAGACCTTACAAGCAGCTCCTACACAGCTGACATGAAATGGCTTCAGGCATATTTTCCTTTATGAATTTCTTTTGAATCGGAATTATCTTATCAATTTTCTGGTGCAATCGCCGGGTTTAATCATCACATGCAATCAACTCTCTTTGAGGAGGAAAATTTCGGGTCTGGTGTCGCAGTGATATGGGCAACCCCGCGATTTCGGCGTCCCCATTCCCAAAACCCTGGTGATATGGGCATCCCCTTCTCATATTAGCTTAACGATTTGGCCTAGGGTGAGGGTTACAGGAGATGCCCTTATCACTAGGGTTTGGCGAATGGGGATGCCCATATCACTGTGACACCGGTACTAAGTGTTCATTTAGCCTGCGTGGCGGGCCCAAAAAGAGGAGGGAGTGGGGGGAGTAGGAAGAAGAAAAGCGCCCCTTCCCCTACCCCTTTCGACACCTGCTTCGCAGTCTGGTCTTCACATGCAGTGGAAACTCGATATGAAGAGGGCTCAGCGACTGGCAAAATTTGTCCGCAATAACGAGGTTTCTTTTCAACGAAGTTCTCTTTCGTACATTTTCATACTATTACTGGGGCAAAGAAAATTGTTCCTGATACCGAGGACTTGGTTATATAGAGGTTCGTTGCAGTATCGAGGTTCCACTGTACGGAAGTGTCTGGCAGAGACCAACCGTAGGAGTCAGATTTATAGATGTGTCCGTTAGAGAGTTGATTATATCTTAAAGACTTTTTATAATGTGGTCTCAGTGCAAAGATGATCGGATTGGTCAGATGGATGCCAATACTGTTGTCTCCCTCGTTTTTGTCTCGTCACGCAACGCTCCTCCTCAACATTGTTAGGGGAGGAGCGTTGCGTGACGAGAAACGGTTGAGAGGGAGACTACCAATACTTTTGCAGCTTTCAAAAAGTGACTGAAGTATCAATTACCAAACCACACAAAAACGGCTGTGAAGACTCACAAATTTGGAACGAGCGCTCAAAGACCGCTTTCTTGGAGAGATTTTTTGTGGGGGTAAATATGATTGTTTAATCATGGAATGTCCAATTATTATAACGGGTCTCGACTTGTCGCTGCTATGCTGTCTTGGTGTTTGATTCGATTGAGATTAGAATCCTGTTGTTAAAGGCTGTTTTATGGGCTTATCGACTATATTAGATTGGGATCCGATTGTTTTTGTTCTTTCGTCGATTCTGTCGCTGCTAACAGCGACTGCAGGTTGTCATTTTTGTTTCAGCAAAAGACAAGAGGTACCCTTTTATGAAAAAAAGTTTTATTAATAAATGGTAATATTACAACCTTGTGATACATACAAACACTTATAGTACAATAAAAAATATAACACAGATGTTAGTTCATGTAAATCTTATTTGCCGAGTTAAACTATGTTAACTTGCTTCTTCGCTTCAAATTGCTGGTTTGCAGCTGAAGTCCCGACAGCCATGCTGGTTGACAAAAACGTTACCCGTTACCCTCCGCTAGGAACTCATGGAAATTCCGCGAACAAAATTTGTGTTGTTTTGTTAACAAACATGGTCGCCTTTTCCCGTGGTTGCAAACCAAAAATATGTATAACACATGAATTTACAACCTTTCATGATTTAACACAACGTTGTTAAAATACCTTGCTAATTAAAAAAACCACAATGACAAGAAATAGTACCATGTGAAAGTACCAAAAAAGGGGAGTAATTTGAAAGGTTTCACAACAGGAATTTGTCAACAGACTCAAAAGTTAGGACCCTCTTGCAAAACGTTATGAACAGTACCACAGGAAAGTACTGCTCAGTAGCTTTCATTTGAATGGTAACAACAAAGGATTTCATCCACAGACTGAAAAGTAAAAGGCACGCATAATAGGTAGCACCATGTGAAAGTGCTGAAGAGGTCTCGTCCATGGTTAAGTTTGAGAATAATATAGTTAATAACACGCATACTTTGTGTATGATTAAAAATAGACACCTTATACCAATAAAACAACAACCCCCTAAAAACACACTTCTCTTGGAAACGTTCCATACAAAAATAATTTAGAATATAAAGTACATACACTGAATCTGTATATATCTATCGCTGGACAGTAAATAACCAGCTAAAAGGTCGTGATATACCACGCCATATACACACAGGCAAACCCGAAGTTTACTTATCAACTGACATAGCCCTTTTAATATTTTGTTTTCCAACTAATATGGCTTTTTGTCAAGACAACGAAAGGATCAGAAATAGATACTTCTAAACTGTAGAAGAAAACAAGGACTTATTTCAATGTTGGATTCATATCTCAATACTTTAATATTTGACTTAAAGGGGCTGTGTCACGCTTGTTCAGTACAATTTGTTTAAAATGCCAGTTACGCGCCCTTATTCGCTATGAAAATTGAAAAATTACTTGTGAACGACAAAATCACAGGTTTGTCTCAAACAAATCAGTGCTGGACCCAGACCTAGAGATAAGTTGGGGGCTCGGTCATCCAGACCCTTAGATAAGGGGGACGGTTTTCCCTGGTCTCTCCCGGGCCCCTTCCCCTGATCTACCATGGCAAATGTCTCCCAAGCATTATGTCAAAAGTTAAAAACGACAAAAATGAAGTTTGAAAAAGTGTTAGGCTAACAAGTTTTCACAAACCACAACTGCAATCCGTTTCAATCTTCTCCAAGTTTGTCCATCCGTGTCTCCCTTTGTACTAGCTGTGTTATTTATACGTTATTTTAAAGTTTTGAGCTGTTATTTTTATGTTGAACCCAATTTTGTGGCAGTTTTGTTTGAATTTTGATAAACTTCGTGACACAGCTCCTTCAAAGAGCAGCCAAAACTGACTGACGCCAATTTTGAAAGTTGAATTTCATATTTCATATTTTTTTATTTTCATTACTGTTATCGGTACTTAAAAGATATCAAATCTGAATGAGAGTGTTTCTTATCTCAGCAAAAGGCCATATTAGCCTGGAAAATTGAGTGGCTATGGCAAATATTACCAACTGATTGATCATTACAATTTTTGTAAAAACAATAAATTATAATAAAACTATCCTCAATTACGTTAAGGTGATCAAATTCCCAATAAAATGGCTTTTCAAAATTTGTACAATGCCATGCAAAAGAGCTACAAGGGACCTCTAAATTACACAGAGGTGATCGTAGCTACAGTTTTAGAAGATGCATGAAAATGGGTTGACTCTTAGTTTCATTGATTACACTGTCACACAAGGTGCTATTCATACCTCGCTGTCACTTCCACAAATGGCCTGGACCAAATCCAGTGTTGACTGTTCTGATTGGTCCATTATAGTCACATGATACAAATGCAGCATTCCAATTGGATAGGACCACCAGTGACCTTCTTAACTACTACTTCAATTGAGAAGCTTTGAGCAACATTTCCCTTACAGCACAGAGCATGATCAAGTGTTCCAATATCTGCATCATTGTTTTCAGTGAGTACAAAGCTGATTTTACGTACATCCTGGCATCCTGTCTGCTTTGCATCCTCCAGTATTTCTATTTGTCACTTCTTTCTTACAGTGCCACTTCTAGTTTTCATTGTAATTTCACTCCAAGAACAATCATGCTACAAATTTCTATCAGAGCAGTAGGGCAGGAGATGGGGGAAAGATATAAATTATACCGTAAGTTTTTTTCACCGAGAACTTACAACAAAGGTCGAGCTGAAAGTCAACGTAAACTGCTTACAAACAAGCTGTTTGCAAACTGCCGGCTTTTAGGTTCCACTGATTGCTATAACAAGGCTCAGAATCTGTTGGTCATGTCTTTGCTAACGCAGCAAGGTTAAGTGCTCTGCCGCTCACTCGAGATGAAGTCATCCGACTGGAAAGAAAAAGAGGAATTAATGTTATGATAATAATTAAAATGTCCCAGTTGTATAAAAGGATGCAATATTACTGGTGTTTTTTTTATCAAAGTAATTGATAAATGTTATATAAATAATTGTTTCATGATCACTTATCAATAGTTTATTAACTGTGTCATACTCTTTGAAGTTTGTATCAATGCGAAGTTCTTTCAGTAGGGATTATTAGTAGTTATGTTTTCCTTAACAAGCCCATTTTATTTTTGAGAAACATTTTACAATCTCGCACAATTCCTATACAATTCAAGATATTCCCTGCACAATTTGCTTCCAAAATCCCCCAAAATGTTAATTTTTTCCCCCCCACCCTGTCAGAAGCCCTGCACACGTGAACTATCCTGGGTTTTATTCCACCAAATTTAGCTGAAAAATATATCAAATTTTTTTGCTTGAGCGTGAAATTCCCACAAGTCCAGGGCTTGAAATTACTGGCTTAAAGTAAGAAGAATGAGGCCAAAATCTTTGAGAAAAAAATTCCTCCCATTGTTACCTTCTCAACATGTGTGATGAGGTTCTTGTTGTTCTACGTGGCAAAGCAGACACCTTGGACGTTTTCAGCGGAGACATGACTGACTGCATACCAGCAGAGGTCCCAAGCCTGTTGAAAACACATTTTAGATCAGTAATTGAGACTTTTCAAACTTAATAAATGCCCCTTTGTTAAGCACCTAGGCACTTATTCGAGGAATAAAATGTTATCTTCACTTGAATCCTAATATTAATTCACCACTGGGGCACTTCACTTTACTTCTGGGACTGCTACTACAGACAGGGAAAAAAATTGGCCTATAGCTGACCGGCACGTCCTTGGTAACAATCCCAGAAATAACTGCGGGATGCATTTCGGCTTCCAGTTTCGTCCTCTTTTCTAAATTGGCATATTGTAGCAGGGCTGTCAATAAGGACCGGTAAACCGACCATCACTGCCAGCTAGTTAGCCACCCTTAGCTGGCTATTTCATCTCCTTCTACCATAACTGCTGACAAGAAATAAGTACCATCGAATAATGATGATGAATGACATTGAACAGATATTTAAACAGGTTTAGATCTGTGAAACATTCGAACTGTGCGATGTCGTGAAACACCTGGGGCATTTCGACAGCACTGTTCCCAGTCTAGCATATGTTCTGGCAAAGCAACATGGCGTCCGCGGTGGAAAAATACCTCTTGAAAACCCCTGGAAATGGCATTTCTGAGACTCTAAATTCCAAAATATCCCTAATTGCTTTGGCCCTCAAGAACTTGTGCCTTTGGTGCGAGTTTCAAAGCTGCCTACTATTCATTATCAGCCTGCCACTTAAAAACTTTTTGACAGCCCTGATTTTAGTGAAGGACCTCTTTAAGAACATTATTACTTACTTTAGAGACTGACCAGTAGTAGACCGTGTATGTCCTATTCTACCATCCTCTAACCTGCAAACAAGAAAAAGCCATCTTAATTTTATTTTGCGTTATTTTCCTCACTTATATGTGTTGTCCGTGACTGTGCTTACATGGTGGGTGGCTCCTCCTAAAATGTTCTGCAATTGGTATAGGATTCATTGGAGCCGAAACCAATTGTGACAGGTGCAACACGTAGATATATATTTTTTTAGCAACTACTATAATTTGCAGTCCGTCCACTTTGAATCTTAAAAAGGTCTGAACAATCAACACTCTGGATTTGTCGTATCAAATCTATATCTGGATCTTCCAGTTTATGGTTCAAACATTTCTTCATTCCACTTGTGGCCCTTTTTGTTTCTTTCTGGTGTAACAATCCCAGTTTACTGATCTAATAAATTTATTTAGAATCTAATCCTGGACTCTCCCACAGAAATGCACCTTGAACATTGAGTACACACAAATCTGAAAATTTCAGCACCCAAAGAGCCCCCTCCTTCCTGATAAGAAGTGGCACTTAGAAAATATTAATACAAGGTACTTAAGTGAAAAGTCAGAGTAACATGAGAAGAGATTACCACATAAGCATCATTAACTTGGTAAAAAAAATCACACTAAATACTTAAGGTCCTAACAACCAACTACTGTAAAACCTCAAATTAAATGATTGACCACAGGGTTCTCAATAGATTTTTAAGTAGGAGGTGATCACTGATAAAGTAGGAGGCTCTTCAGCAAAGCCAGAGGTGTCAAAACAAAGCAAAGAAAAGCGACTTAAACACAAAGTAAGGGGCTATGCGGCGATCGGGCAACTATTGAGAAATCTCAGATTTTTATGCCCTCGGGCAACTAGAAAATCTCAGATTTTTCATACGAATCATATGCTGGGCACCCTAAATTTTACAGTTTCAGAGCACTGGGCTCCGTTCAATTTTCCTTAGAGCACTGCCATGATCATGACAACTTACTTTAGCCCCCCTGTTGTGGCTGATCTTGGGTGCCGCAGGGCACGACTTGTCTTGAGTCTTCTTAACTCATCTCCTTGCGTAGTCTCTTCATTGTCATTGGCATCTTTGGTTACAGTTATTTCCTTGGAAGAAAGAATGCTGCTCCTGCCACTTATAACAGAAGCTCCTGATGAAGGGGTGCCGGTAGCACGGAGAATAGGTGTTAAATCCTTTAAACAGAACAGAAAAACTTCACACTTTATAATGATATCTTTCTCAGAGAGAAGAAAGCCGATCTTTTGCAGCACAACTACTGGTTCCCCGGTTGCATGGTACGGCAAAATGTCAGTCAGCTGATCGCAAGAAAGCTGCCAAACTTTGAGCTATCAAGATCGCACCTTGAACAATTCACAAGCAGAAAAATACGAGAAAAAAACCAGTGAAATAAATCAAAAATTATTGTACCGCACTCAAAAAAGAAGGACGTTTTGGTGTCATTGTGACACAATTTGACACAATTTTCAAGTTCAAAGGGTCCAGTTTATAAAATGGCAGAAATAATTAGCTATTCAAGATAAACATGTTATATGACAAAGAGACATTACATGTAAACTTCAACGCACCCACTGATGGTTGCTACAGCTGTAAGCACACCAATATTACTATTAACAAATTATTACAAACATTCATGGCACTCACTGTGAATAACAGTGATAAACAATAATAATTACCTTAGAAAAAAAATAGCGACAACAGTACCTTGTAATACTTAGGTGTCCTTGCATTTCCAGAATCTTCTATCTTTATGGTGTCCACACCATTAATGAGCCTGCTCACAGGGCATTTGTCAACACCTGTCATCATTAACACAAGGCACAAAGTTAGCTTCTCACTGACAGCCTGGTTGTATGGTGGTGGGGGGGGGGGGGTAGGAGGGGGGCAAGGGTGGAGCAGTGGTGAGAGCATCTGCTTCCTACCAAAGTGGCCCGACTTCAAATCCTGGATGTGCACTAAATAAAATTATTATCATGTGAGTTGAGTTTTGATGATGGTTCTTGTCCTTGCTCCCTGATGTTTTTTTCAAGATACACTTCCAACCAGTACTTCCAACTTTCAATTTGATCCACAACAGAAGACATAGAACCATGTTACTTACTGCTACCACTAAATTGTTACTATTAAATACCTTTTTCTGCTCTTTCTTGTTCCCTTGATCTGTATATGTCACCTTGTATCCACAGACTCGCTTGTTTTCTAAATGAAGAGAAATAATGATTATACTTTTTCTAAATAAAATAGTAAGTATAAAATGCAGGGCTTTCATTAAAACCTAACACCTGCTGGAGTGTTAGAAATTTGAGTTACACATGAAACTAGATATGTCAAATATATCTCCCGATCCCTTTTTTGTTAACCAAAATAATGTTATCTATGAAATTACCATAAAGTTAACTATGAAATAGACCTGTTTAGCTTATATGTTTTGTTTCCCAATGTCTGTCATTTGATAATACTCTAGAAAACTGTTTCGTTCAAATTTTTTCTTATTCATGTGCATATGTACGCATAATCTATGAAACGACAAAGGGGCAAATTCCCCCGAGACCTTCATTAGGGAATAAAACATACAAGCTATAGAGGTCTATTTAACTTGTCAATGTATATTTAATGTTGCTCTGACTTACTCTTCTAAGAAGTTCTGCTGTGGACCAATCACTGACCCGGGACGACAAATTCTGTTAAGGATCAATGAAATCAACATTATGACATGAACACAAATCTTTAACATATCTATTATTGTTCCTTGAGTTATTAGTAACAATATGCCTTTAAAGTGCACGTGGCTGTGCCGATGAAGCAACAGGAGCATAACTTAACAACAGAGAAGACAACCTAAACTCAACTACGCGCCATTACACCATTAATGAACATAAATGGATTGAACATGCATAATACTGAACCCAATGATTAGACTATTCCATACCTTAACCAAGCGATGGCTTCTGCTGCTGTAAACCTGTAATGTTTCATGATGTAACATGCAATAAGAGTTCCAGTTCTACCAAGACCAGCTGTAACATAAAACTCAGACATCAGTTTAAATGTCTACCAACCAACAGCTTACAGTTCCATTGTGAAGCAAGCAGGTGACTAAAAATGATCTTTGCAGCAAACTACTTAACTACATGCCCACATAAATAAGTTTCAATAGAGCTGAAAGAATGCTGAAACCCCATTAATAAAACTGCCAACAAAAAAGGACATGACTAACCTGGTTGTTTTAATGAGATTTTCTAGTGTCTTTTACACGTGGGCCAAAAAAAAGCAACAAAATGTTGCTACGCAATTATTACATTTTGTAAGGTGGAATTCAAGCTTTTTTGAACTCAATAACTTCATCAAAAGCTTCCTAAAATTCCTGCTGATTGAATAAAACAACTGAACTCACCTTTACAGTGTACTGCAACTGCTCCTTTGGTGTTTTCAGCTATATTTAAGAACCGCCTAAAAACAAACAAACAAAGTTGGTCATCCTTGAGCTCACCATGACCACCAGAAAAAAAAAAATTGGGGGTAATCGGTAGACTGCAGTGCTCATGCAGAAGCACTGCGACAATCTTCATCATCTTCATTCCATGACTCACCTAACTATTGAGTCACTAGGGGTGCTTCCATCAACAAAGAAGAGGTCAAAGTGATCAATGCCATGATCGCTGAATCGTTTTGCATCATAGAATTTCTTGTTAAGTCTGACGACTGCTGTCACATTGTGCTTCTGGAAATAGTCAATGTAAGATTCTGGTGCATGCAGAGGATAACCTAACAAAAATAAAATTAACAGGTGTAAATTTGTGAGTGGTCTGATTTCACCTAAAGTAACCATACTCCCACAAAAATTTAGGAGAGGTAAAAAATAAGAATGTAATGTCAAAGTTCTGTTTGTCACTGACTTGTTTTCAAAGTAATATCTATTTTTTAAAAGAAAATGAAGAAAACGTCAGTGGCATACAAAACTTTTAAACCCAACTTCCAGCTGCAGCTAAGATATCACATTACTGCTAATAATTACCATTTTCAATTCTACTTTTATTATGAGGTCCACTAAAAGCCAAGAATTTGTCTGGAAAAAAAAAATAAGAAAAAAATTAATATAAGAATTATTATTTACTGGACAGATAATTATAGATATTACTATAAATTTCTTCAAAGAAAGATACATGTGAATATGAGTGAGATTCACTATGAGCATTAATTTATCAAAATAAATTTTCCTAGAAGGAACTCACGCAGAGCAATAACTTGTTAAAGTGTCAGTATTGCTGGTAACTTGGAAGGAAAAATGCAATGTTTTGAACCACTGAACTCACCAGGTAAAATCCAGTTAAAATCTCCATTTTCGACTCTCTGTAAGAACAAAAAAAATATTTGAGAAAAGGCCCACCACAGAAGCAGTCGTAAGCTAGAATAAAAATTTTACACGTAACTAAGGAAAAATAAATTCTCAAGATCTAACATTATATAGTGATTTTGTTACATCTACGTCCTGTGTCCCTGACACATAAAAATCCCCAAGGACACAAAATAATCATGGCATGAATCCCATACGGCACAAAGAACGATCGATCGATTTGGAGATTTTTTGGTAGAATATCCTGTTCATGTGATTTCTGTGGCTGTTGTTTAAAGATGCATATTTATTTTTGCCTTTTTATGCTTTAAATGTACCTAGAATGACTACTGTATATATTTTAATTTCAGTGAATGTGGCTAAAGAGTTTTGGCATCTGTCTCCACATTAACTGTCTGGTTACATAAAGGCCCAAGAATGAATCCTTATTTCATTTGAACTGGGACCCACTGGTTATGGACTTGGACTCATGATTTTTCACAAGATGAGTCCCAGGACTCACCATAACTATTTCTAACAAAATCACTGATTATATACTTGTAGCCTGGTACCACGCCCTCCCCCCCAACAGTTCTTACCTCGTAGTACTCATACTCAGCAACATCAAAAGTATCAAAGTTAAAAAATCCTTTCTGTAAAGACTGAAAGTGACAAGAGAAGGATAAAAGAGTCACAAATTAATATTTGTTTTTCCACTGGTGAATCTCTCCGAAAGGAATAAGAAAGTTTCTTACCTTATAAAGACCACTAAGAACATCTGCTAAAGACAGATTATATGTACATGCTCCAAAAGATGCATCCCTGGAAAAAAACATAAGAATCTTTAAGCAAAATTGTCGCACATTTATATGAGGCATATATGTAGGGCTAAATGGTGACAGCTTTACTCCATTTCTGTAACATTAATCAGTTGGGGGAAACTGCTCATTCCTGGACAGGATACTACATATACAGCTGTAGTTCAGCACAGGGTTATACGTGTACATGTAATATCCCCAGGAAAACATCCCATCCATACATACAACTGAGTAAGGATATTTAGCACTTAAAAAAGTGAGACAAAGCTTCCAGTGTCTAAGGCAACAAAGCAGCCAAAAAATGACAGGACATTCTCCATCATAGCTGATGATGAGTCTTTTGAAAAAGTTTTAATTCAAAAGAAACTAAAGAGTGTTATAAATATAAAGTTACCAAAAATTACCATAAATGTGATGAACATACCTAAATGGTAAAAAGGGTGGGTTACAACCAGTTATTAGAAGCCTGTATGACTCTTCAGGAGATCTCTTCAAATATATAATCTACAAAAACAATATTTATATTATTGATCAATATTCATCATTATATTCCCTAAAGAAATGTACCCAACAGTCCTAGGGTGATGTTGTCAGCATAACAACAAGCTAAAACTGACAACACAAAAAGGCTAAAAAGTCAAATTTCAAATCTGATGGTCAATTTGAGCCTTGGCCATGTTGTAATACACTTTTCTTTTAATCATAAAATAAAGGTACATACTCCAACCACTTTTTGACAAGACCTAAATACATCACCCTAGATAAAAAATATCATACTCACAGAATATGCTGCTATAAGGTATGCTGCATTAGCTCTTTTTCTACTGTCAAATGATGTGTAATGAACAATCTTCTTCTTTGCAAGAGAGAAGGACTGGAATGGTAAACAAAGACACAAAAACTCATTTCCATCCAGTCAATAAACTACTTTAAATGACAGTCAAACCTTCCTTAAAATCACCAAAAAAGTGTCCAAGATTTGGCAATCACTGATGGAACATTGTCCTTTAGGAAAGTCCTTGGTTATGGAATCTTTCAACAAGTACACTTTACTGACTTGTAAAAGAAGTGGAAAGATTCGTTCCCAAAACCTACCAACCCCCTTTAAGTTACATTGTGTATTTCAGCAAATGTTATTTGCCCGTCAGACAACTTGTAATAATTTTAAAAATGCACGTCTAAAGGTGTGCCTTACTAGCCTGGGGCTATTGCAATATCTTCACTTAAAATAAAAGAAGAACACAAAAGACCGTCTGAGATGGGAAAAATATCCATAACAAAAAAATGGAAGATCAAGAGGAAACCTTGCTGAGTTGGTTTTCTATCATACTAAGTCACAGAGATATCTACAATGCAAATCATTCAACATTTTCATAGCTTCATAAACAAACTGTTACAAGCAGACATGCATCAAAGAATGCGCACAGAAGCATTATTTTTATACGGGTTCTTTCAGAGCATGTATCTTGTGAGGTTGGGTGAATATCACAACATCACTGTGCAAGCAATAAGCTTGGATGAACGCCCTGCCACGAAATTATTAGCTGCTAAACGATGGGATGCTTAAGTTTTCATGTTATACAAATGACCGGGTATTCTAAAACTGCTCTATTAAGCTTAAATTCATAACAACTGCGTAATGACCGGGGATCTATAAAAACTTAATGATTTCAATAATGATCATAACATTCATGAGACCAAACCTCTCTATGGATACAAAGTTTATATACACTTTCTCATAATAAATTTAGGTTTCATTGAATAGAATTAACTACTGTGCTTAAGAACTAATTCCAGGTACGCGCGAAGATTCTTTAACCGCACGAAAGAATTTAATCAAGCTCACACGCACCTTGCAGAAATTTAAATTCGAACCTAATGGATTTTTACGGTTTTCCTTTGGCGAGCAAAATTTGTGACAGGGTTTTCAATGAAAGGTCAGTTTTAAACTAAGTTATCACCGTTTTTCTACCCTTTGCCCTAGAATACAAAGAAGCACGGGGCAAAATTCCAAAACCACAACTCCATTTTGGTCGCAAGAAGCCATGTTTTTACAAAACCACAACATTTGAGCCAAATTGTGACGGAGCGATAGAATATTTAACAACTTTTAAAGGCTCTTAAAAGTCCTCAGAGAAAATCCTGGGGACCTAACAAGGAAAAGGGCTGTTTTGGCGTCCAATATTTAAGTCATTATACAAATGGGAAGCTTTAATAAGCAAATATAAGCTTACGGGAAATCGTAAACAGTGAAAACACACTCGTCAGATGTTTCCTCTCAATCTTACATATTCAAATCATTCGTTTGTCTAGACATAACTTCCTTTACTGTATCTCTAGATGAAAATGCGCATTTTTGATCAGTTTAAAGGGCAGAAAACGGCACGCAGGGTTTAAAGAATACGGCTTCCATAATCTAATTCCCTCGGCGAGGGCATGTCACTTCAGGAGAACGCCAGTTTATATTAGTAAAGAAGCCCCGAAGGATCGAAAAGATAGATCTTGCAAGTTATATCAAACAAACTGATATGTTATCGCGGTGTTGTTGCTCGAAAAAAGAGATACAAGGCACCGAAAACACACCTTAAGTTTCTTGTTCAGCTTACAACAGTAGCGGTACAACATAGCCAGGTTCAAAGGACCAAAGTCAGCGTAGAAACTACAAGAACAGAACAAGAACAAATTGATTAATTAGAACGTGATTCGGCGCTAAATATCGAGGCAAATTAGAAGACACTTACTTTTCATAAACCAGCTCATCGTCCACGCAGAAATAGTGCGTAGATACAGTGCTTCGTGGTTTATTTCGAAGAGTCGCAAAATACAACCGATCTACAACAGGATTTAAGGAACATTTTGTTAGGTAAACACGCTATATGATAGTGGTAAACCATATTGGCAACGGATAAAACCCTCCAAAATATACCTTCTATGAACTTGCATGCATTTGTCAGTCATTTTCGTCACCCATGACTCGTAAAACACGTTAAAAAGGAACAGAAATCTTCGATAAAAACGTCAAAGCGACTCTATCACTTCATTCTCCATGTCTTCCTCGCATTGATAAAGACTGCATTACAATCTTCCACCAATCACAGCGTAGCACAATGCGTTGCTATGGGATATGACCCGTCCATTGCACAATAGGAATATAGTTAGGAAACAATGAAAAAGAATAAACAGCGCGAATTTATAGATTATTTACAAACTGTATAAAATCAAAACAGATAAATGCTACGTAAAAGAAACGTACGTTTGTGTTTTTACTTTGTAAAAATGTATTGACTGACAAACAGCCTCAGACTACACTACACTTACTAGCTGAGGTCGTGCACCCATTTTAATTAAAGTCTTTTATTCCGCATTCTTTAAACCATGTGAAAAAGGGGGGAAAAGTGAAAAAAAGAAAGAAAGAAAGAAAGAAAGAAAGAAAACTACTAGTTTAATTTGTTTTGAATCCTGAACTGACCATATTCAGGGGGGGGCTGGCGCAAAACAACTCCCGAGAGGGCGGTTCCCGGCTCCCGGCTCCGCCCATTATGGGTACCTTTTTCAGTTTTTAGGTGTATGAAAAGGGTAGAGACTGAATCTGTCCTTGGGGTCTGCGATGACCTAATATAAAATTTTGTTGACTAACCCCTCCTCCCCCCGGAGGCTTATGTTATTCCCCGGAGACCGCCAATGTGTGAGTGGATTCCAGTAGTAAAATTAAGTTGTCTCAGTCAAGTGTTTCTGGGATAAAGGAATATATCTTTAATAAAAAGTCAAGGAACAAGAAAAGAAAATTGAATATAAGACTTAAGATAATAAGTTTATCGATCCCTGGAGTGACTCTATAGTTACAGTTGTAAAAACTGTTCCTGTGACAACCGTCTACCGCAGGAGAAACATACATAGTGTTTTTACCAGGAGCCTATGACTATTACTACTATTATTAGGCTCCTGCTTTTACCCAGTCACTGACTCCAATAACACGTTCATAGCGCGTGATATCTCTTTAAATTTAAAATCTATAAGAAAATCAATGGTGTTACCGTTCAAATGAAACCTCGATGACAAACCTTTTGCATCTAGGGACTTCAAATAATTTTGAAGCTCTTTTGTTTTTTGTTTGTTTGGTTTTTTTTTGTATTTCATGCGATCAGTCAGTGTTCAGGTACGTTACGACGAAAACCTCGTTCCCAAGCGAACCTGGGAACGAGGTTGCGACGGCGAGGGCAACGGCCACGTCAAAAAGTCAATACGTTTAGTTTGGCAAAACAACAACTCTGCACGTGCATCACGCTTTTTTGTACACTTTCTTTGCCGTCCCAACACAACTATGACGTGAAATGAACAAATTTTAAGTTTACTTGAGGACGCGAACGGCCAGGCGATAAATTGTACCATCTCTGTCTGAACTCAGGCGCGGTACACTCTCTTCAGCACTAACATAAATTCTCTTCTTTCAGGAGCTATGGGCTCCTGCTTCTTTTGAGTAACTGGAAGACCTGGGATAACCGTGAAAGGGTTTGAAAGGATGTGGAGTCTATTTTCCCACGACGTTTTCGTGGACAGTGGGAAGAAAGCGCGGGGTATTATTGGCCCGGGGGGGGTACTCCCATAAATTACCTATACGGGTATGTGCTGCCCAATGGGGTAGTGATTTTGAAGCTCCTGATTTAGAACGGGGTATCCATTTCAGAGGCGTTTTCTAGAACGGGGTATAATATTTCGAACGCACGAAAGCTCCAGTTTTGTAAGCAACCATTTGAAATTATTCAAGGACAGATTGCTTTTAAAAATACGGTTCAGTGCGTTAACAAGCAAACTGTTGTACTCTTTGCACCTTAGAACAGAGTATAAAAAATTGGCCCATTTCTAGAACGGGGTATCAGTTTTAGGGCGAATTCTAGAACGGGGTATCAATTTTAGGGGAAATTTTTTTTAGAATGGGGTGCCAATTTGGATTCCCGGGCGGCACATACCCACCCAAAAAATACCCAAGTGCCCCCCCCCGGGACTATTGGGAAGGCCAAGCAGAGAGACTACCTTTTTCTCTTCCCATCGTCCACCGCGAGCTTGCTATTTCTATTTTTAATTGGAATTGCCAGCGCGGGCCTCAGCGGAGGAGATTCAAGGGTCGTCGCTTCTCTTCTCTCTACCCTCTTTTTTTTTTTTTTTTTTACTGAAACGGCCCCATTTTTATGGCTAAGACAGATCTTTTCGCAGTTAAAGTGTACCTCGAAAATTTGTCTAAAAATACACTAGCAGCTGGTGAAGAAAATACGCTTCTGGCTTACAACTGCGCCATCCTCTGTACAGTTGTCTATAATTCAGTACTTTGTACTATATTTGAACGGCATTCATTTGAAGTTCTTTCAATAGTCGAGCTTATTGTTTCTTCAGTAACCGTAAGTTCCTCACTGGAGACTTTAGCCATTTCATCAGTTTTAGCAGTGCCAGCCTCCTCATCGTCCTTCTTAGCAAGTGATCCGCCTTTTAAAACATATCTCATCTTCCGAAAAGAACTTCTAACCTTGACAGCTAACAGTTGAGCAGTGTTGGTTTCTCCCGTGATTGTTTGATTGCTAACACCATTGAAGGTATCGTAAGAATCTTTAGTTCCCAGACCCAAGTACCTCTTTGCGCGATCCCTGATCGGCTTGAAACATAAAATGGTGACCCCCGCGTTAACTGCAGCGCTGGCGTTAGCGATGATGACGACGCAACGACCAATCAGATACGAGGTAGGGAACTCCGGGCGACCAATTCCAGCGATTATGAGGTAATAAAACCCTGCGGGACTGACACAAAACCAAAAACTAGCGGTGATATAGCTAGACAAAAGGGCCACTCTCCTGGCCTCGGCTTTCAAGGGATCCGCGTCAGAATCTTCATCTTTTGGGCTTTGTGCTTTAAAAGATTTCTCAATTTGGAGCACACGGTACATTATTATAACGGAGAAAACTGCGATAGCAATGGCAGGAATAATTAACGTGACGCCTAAATAGGCGCGAGCAATTTGTCCCTTGGTCCCTGGCTCGGCTATGCACACTCGTACATAATACTGGTGATTGTCGGACATGTACTCAACTCGTGAATGATACAAGAAGAAAAAGGGAACGTTGATTACAAACGCTAAAAACCACGCCCCTCGGATCATGTACACAACCGTTTTGTCGCTCAAACGGCGGAAGGCGAATGTCAAGGACCAGAAACGTTCGAATATTGTGACGACGAGAATATAGAAGCTGGTACCCATGGCAACAAAACGGACGTATTTGGAAACAGCGCAGTACTGATGGGACCGTCGAAATTCTAGGCGGTAGATCTCCAGCGCATCGAATGGGATTGCAATAAAACAAGTCAAGAGGTCTGAGAATACCAAGTGACGCAAGAAATAGTATGTCCTCAGCTGGGATCGTAGCATCCGTTGACAGAGTGGGTTCTTGCTTGCTTTGCGAGCATACTTTTCTTGCTTCCATATGATCAGAAGAGCGAGAAAGTTAAGGCCCAGCGCCAAAGGTTCGATAATGATGTATGGTATCGCGAGACTCACTTTTTGACCAGTACTCAGTATGTCAATCAGTTCCTCTCTAGTTGCGTTGCTATGGTCACTAGCGGAAAGAGGCGTTGAATTTGCCATAACGCCAAGGCTTGGTCTCTAATGTAAAAAAAAAAACAGGAAACAAAATTTAACGATGCCACTCACCACCGTACAAAGGTTTTAACTGGTGATTAGTAGCAAATAACGGGATCTGAGAGGACCATCCTAATCCTATTTTATTTGAAACATTCAAATTGTGGTTTTTGTGCTTTAAACAGAAAAGAAAGGATAAGGGAAGGAGGTTTTTCGCGACCTCCCTTATAATTATTCCTTGTACCACACGGCTGTTGATAGTAGGCGAAATTAAGAATTACGGGACCGGGAAGTTTTGTCGCAAAATGATTTTGAACACTGGGGAAAAAAAACTTACGCTCCGACAAACTGACAGGGCAATGAAACAATATGTTTTAGATCAGTCGCATATACCCAGAAAACTGTTCTTGTTGATTTGATAAATAACTATTTGCTGTACAGTTGTTGCTTTTAAGAATTTTTAGTCACTTAAACTTTTATTTGAAAATACAAATAAACGCCAAATAATTCCTATATATATGCTGAGCCTTAAATTGCTGACCCTTGACGAACAAGCAATTTCGCTTCTGTCAGGTAATAAAGAACTGAACTGCCGATTCTATAGGGAAATACAATGCTTCGAAAAATTTCCTCGAAAATTGCCGGACATTTTAAAGCTACAATACGTTAAACTGAATTTACTTGAACTGTGATAAGCTCCGAAAAATTAATATTATGTGGTCATCCGTGAAGAAACTAAATTTAAAAAGTTATCGCTTTTTTTCGAGTGCCCCTTGGCCAGAAAAGAAGGCGAATCAATGTATGAATACTTTAATTTGAGGAAAGGAAATTTCAAAAATAAATATAGCCGAGTAATTTAAAATAAACGAGAGGATAAGAGAAAAACAACAACTGATGATAGGAAATGGTTTTGAAATTAGAAGCAACCACCGACCATCTATTTTTTTGAAAAAGGATCCAATTTTTTTTGCACAGGGATACACATTGTAAAGCAAAATTCCTTACCTGAAACGGTGGTTTTTCCTTATCTTGCTATCTGCAAAAAACGGGCTGTAGAAAGGCAGTAAGTGCAACAGGTGGGGGAAAAGCGAATCGAATCACGGAAAAGAATTTTAAATTTGTGCAGGAAAATAGCCCATGAAATCAGTAAGAAATCCCCACGAAAACTATGAAGTTGATTGGTCCAAGGTCCGTGACATCTCTTTGATATTCCGCCTGGCTACCTGGCAACGAAATGAGCAACAAACAAAGCGGGCCTTCATAGAAACCTTACAATAATGAACGAATAAAACGAGGCTAATTTCATTTGGATGAAAGCTTCTACATCTGTGTTGTAGTTAATTATTTCTATTTTTCCTTTGTTTCAACTTTATTAGCATACATTACCATACCCAACAACAAAAGAAAAACAAAAATTACCTGAGATAAAAAGTTAACTACAACATCTACAGAGAGAATTATTTTGCTCCTCGAATGCTTTCGGAATCTCTCTGATTTTCCGCCTTGCTACTTGGCAACGAAACAAACAAGCAAAAGAAGACAAAGAGGGTTTTGCTAAAAATTAGTAATTTTACGTAGACAAGCGGGCTAAACTAATTTGAAAGGGTATAAATTAGGGTTTTGATTAGACCTGAAAAGCCTGTTGCAATGATATTCATTTGTTTTGCTGCTTAGCAACTTGCCTGAGAATAGAACTGAAAAGCAATTGAAAGGCAGAATGATATAGCAAATCTGTGAAATACCGCAAATAACCTAATAAACGCCCGGGGCGTCTATTTAATTTTAGGGGTCCAAACGGGGGCGTTTAATAGGTAGGAGGCGTTTATTCTCATAACTGTAACAAGCACGGCAAAACTAATGTACTTTCGGCAAAAATATCAAGAGAATTTAAAAACAGCGGAATATCTACTCCAACTAATACGTTTAGGCCGTCTGGGGTTCCATATCTCTCTGTTGCCGCCGCCAGGTTAGCTCAGTGGGATAAGCGCCGGTCTGCAGAGCGGGAGGTCGCGTGTTCAAACCCCGGCCGGACTAACACTCAGAGTCTTTAAATAACTGAGGAGAAAGTGCTGCCTTTGTAATAACATCTGCAAACGGTTAGACCTTCTAGTCTTCTCGGATAAGGACGATAAACTTTCCCATGAAAACCCTCGCACATTAATAAATCTGCGGGACGTTTTAAAGATATGGGTGCCTGGTGTAGTGGTCTATCTCACTTTCACACTCATATATGGGGGCATCATTACTCGTTTTGCTTAAACAGTCTGGCAAATTAAAGTCTCCCAACCAGTGTTGTAAATTGTCCCTGAAAAGCCCTGAGGGGAGTGGATAATAAGATATTTACAATTTACAATTTCAATTCAGAATCCTCGCTCAGGGTTATTATGTTGCCATCGTTAGTCTATCCTTACTTTGATCTTAATTTTGAACAAGATGAAATACGCAAAGCGGCATTGTTAATCAAGCAAGAAACTGAATGATTGAATAATTTTGTTCCTTTTTGCTGATCCTTAGTATTTTGGACTAATTCTCATAGGAGGCGTCTATCAGACAAGGTGCGTTTATTAAAGAAGTGCGTAGGGGGCAAAATATGCTCTGTGCGTGGAAAGAAATTAGCCTGTCACCACCCTTTTGATACGCCTGACAGGCTGGGTATTCCGGCTCTAGAATACGATGAAGAAAGGTAGAGGAATTGTCATGCAAACTTGTCCAATCATCAGGAGGGTGATAGATGGCGGCAGTACAAGGATATAATGCAATAATCGATAGCTACAACCCTAAGGTAGCCTTCTCAGGTTTCTCAGTAGCCTGCGTAGGAAGCGTTTCCAGTCGAGTTATAGCGCGAAAGTTCCCCTCCCCCTCCCCCTTCAATTCTTTTTTTGCTCTTGTCCCAATTTTCTCGACGAACTCGCGCGGAAACGCTTGCTACGCAGGCTAGGTTCACAGTAGATATCAGTTTCTCAGGGATATAAAGGCCAAAAAAAACAGCAAGAACGGCGAAATATGGCGTCTCGTGCGTAAGAAGACATGACGCAACGGTTTTCAAACATTTTACTAAGCTTGTTCTACTATCTGCAAAAAAAAACATACCCTCGTGGGCTGTTACTTTATTGCATATCACGTTGTGGGTAGCAATATGGAAATTGAACAGAGCGATCGTCAATTTTTGTAGTATAATGAAATGACTAAAAATGACAGGGTAAAAAGCAGAGAGGGTGTCTTAATCTCGAAAAGACAAAGTCAGTTTTAACTAAGTACTGGCCATACCAGCATTCTTCCAAAGGTAGAAGAGAAACTCGACGACCTTAATATGGAGCTTCAGGTCCAGTAAGTCTTTGCCCTCTGTAAGGTTCGCCGGGGGACATAAAAGCACTGGCCCGAAACACACCGACAAATTGTGCGCGTCCATTTTGTTGGTGTCCTTCTCAGCGATCACGTGCATAAAATGGTTTAACAAATACACCAGGGTTTCTCGGTTGTTCTGCGGTAACTGGACGAGAAATTTTGAAAGAAGACGCTTCTGGGAAGCCTGGTCCTGGTCTTGAACATGATCCTGCGCTGCTCGGATCAGAAGTTTGGACAGAGATTCGGTTATCAGGGGCTCGGGAAGTTCCCGGAGATAATCCTTAAGAATTCCCGCGATGATATTTATATCGGGGTAATTCTCCTCTGACAAATCAACAGTAGTGCTGTCCTCGTCGAACTGCGCATGTAACTGCTTTTTACGTCGAGCGTTACCAGAAATCCGGTACAGACCCTGGGCCGACAGGCCCCGTTTTTCGATCTCCTCCACACATTTGCGCACGACTAACGGGACGCTAGCGTTCTCGTTTCTCGACGTCACATTGAGCTGGAAACCGAAAACGCCCGATTTTCTGTCGGACGGAGCTCGTTTAAGCAGTGTCTTCATCTCAATAAAACCCATTTCGATGTGAATTGCGCCTTGTGGATTCATTCGGAACAAAACCTTGTGTTGCTTTCCAACGCGCACAAAGGGCGAAAGATTGAAGGACACCTTACCCACGGGTTTATCATATTCGTGGCTGGAAGTGAAACAAGAAAGGCACACTTCGCGGCCATGTTGGATTTCCACTTCGAACATCTCATCCCACATTAGGATTTTCGATGCCTTTTTAGAACTCGTGAAAGCTTTTCGCTCAAAATCCACCTCGACAGCACAAAACACTTTTTTCTTTTTCTCTAACAGCTTCTTGTCTGCAAATTGAAGATTCGTCGCTTTGATGATGTGTAGCGAGACCATTCCGGAGACAGCATGTGAAGATAACAAATTGTGTCCACTATAATCATCAGGAAATATCAAGAAGCCATCTTCAGCCTCGCTTCTAAGCAAATCGCTGTCAGTCATGTCCTTATCGGCAAGCTGATTGGTTAAGCTCTTGTCACTGATCGAAGCAAAGCTAGCGCGCCTTATGCTAAGAGGTGAAAACCTTGAGTTTGTAGCAAGCGAGAGCTTTCCATTTGGCTTGGTTTGTTCCTCTTGAACAGCTACTAACAAGTTCGGCTGTGATGAGCGACTAGCAAGTCTCCGGGGAAGGCTTGGTGGCTGTAATCCGCCGGAGGAACGCGATTGAGGCAGCACTGAGCTTTTCTGCTGATCAAACATTTTTTCGTGCAGGGTCTCACCTTTAAGGACGGACTGTTGAGCCGAAGAAGGGATTTTATAAGATTCAGTCCTCTCTCCATGCCTATCTTTGCTCTTTTCCGTCAAATCATTTGTGTCTGAGTGATTCCTAAAGGCCAAAGCATTGAAAATTTGGCTTAGCGACAATCCGGAATCCCTCCGCGAAGGTGACAGCGTTGGTGATTTATCTTCCGGTGATTCACTATCCGACAGTCCACTCCCACCTTTTCGACTGGACTTTCTACTGTCTTGTTTTTCTGAAGATAATTGAACTTTCTGTTCTGTCACGCTTGGTGACTCTTTGTGGGCAGCCACCGGAGACGGGGGTGGTGTAGGGAGCATTCTTCGGCTCCTCGGTTCAACTGGTACAGTCAAGAGCGGATTAGCAGCTGTGGGAGAAGACGAAGCAGAACTCTCATTGCCACTCTCACCAACTGAGCGTTCGCTCCCGGACCGACTCGACCTACCACCGTCCGAAGGCACAGATGGAAGTCTTCGTCGCATCTTCGGGCTCCCTCCTGGGGAGCCCGGAAGACTTCGTGAATTCATTATCGCCGAAATGACGTTAACGGAATCGTCTTCAGAGATACTGTCTTTTTCGGCATTAATTTTTTGACTGGAAGGATTTGCAGAGTTGTAATCGTCGGGATCGTCGAAGATAAGGTTGACCGTTGTGACAGGAGTTAAAGTGCTGGATCTCCGGGCCGCGGTCGGCGGAGTTCTCTTCGACAAAATTATGCTATCGGCTGATGGCTTTCTCGTAGGAATCCCAGGATTTCGTGGCAGTCGTCCTGTCTGTCTCGTCTGAGAGCTCTTAACACTTCGCACCTCTTCCCCCGACTTAGATAACTGGCTTTGATCCAACGGAAAACTTCCAGAGTGTTCTAAACTTCGTTTAGCGTGCTGGAATCGAGTATTCTGCGCTCGAATCGCGTTAATAAGGTCCTCGATAGTCGATGATCCCTCCGAACGCACCGATGATCTTGAAAAGTCCCGAAACTCATTTGCATTTTTATCGACATTAAAAGCTTCCGTCTCTATTTGCATAGTTTGTTTGCTATGGTTGCTCGCCTCGCTGTAGTCACTCGCGCGGGAAACCTTATTTTTTGGCCTATACTCCCGCGATGATCCTTTTTCCGTTTTTCTATTGTTTGTAGTTATATAGCCATAAGATTCCCCCACCGATGAGCTTCGCTTGAAAACAGAGGCGTTCGTTTTGATCGTCAAAATTAATTTTCGAGGGATTTGAATAAGTCGCACTACATCATCCAGAGAAAAACCTTCAACATCGACATGATTTACCGCAACAATTTCATCTCCAACTTTGAGAAGTCCGTTCGCTTCGACTACACTCCCTTTAGCAATACGTGAAACAAATATCCCATCCTTTCTGAGTAACCCATCGCCTTGACGAATGAAAAAACCAAGGGGTAATGTAGAATGTTTCACAATCGGCACATTTCGAATAATATATCGACCTGTTTCGTCCAAGTGATCTCCTTGTTTAACGTCAAGGAGACGACCATCGATGAATTTTTTTGACCTTAAGCCTTTTTCCTCTACGTCATTTGGCACCGTTGTTGCCAACTCGCTCGTTTTTGTTATAGTACCAACATCTTCTTTGTCAATCTCTTGTACCTTTGCCACAACGTCAGACGTTAAGCTCTTCCAAGCGACCTTTTGTGCTCTTGTATCGTCTATTTCGCTGGCGTTGTAACCGTTATGCGCCGTTTTCCTAGCCATGGAGCCCTCGTCGCGAAAACTGAACTCGATCTCGTTCAGTTCGCTCACAACTGTTGACATTGCAAAACCTGTTCATAAAATTCTTTATAAAACTGTCGATGTATCTCTCATAACCACAATGATGTACAGCAATATGTCAACTTCACCTTCAGGTCATGTTTGCCTAATTGGATAAATCGTGTAGCAGTAAATTTTTCCGCATCGCAAGATGTCGGCATCCTGGCGTCCGTGGCGTACCACAATCGCGCGATGTTCATCTGAACAACGAGCTGGCTTCAAGGTGCACTTAAGAACTTCCAATATTCCTTTGTAAAACGCTAATTTCCACTTAAAAAGTCCAAAGGGATTACAGTTTCACACCTCGTGTATATACTTAACCACTGAAAACGTCCCTGCACTACGTTTGCATTGTGAAAGCATAATTACGAAAATTTGCATTCTGACGCGAAACCTTTTCCTATCCACGAGCAAGTTTACTAGCCACGACCAGTCGCCCATAGAGAGAAATATTTCTAATTTGCAGCTAAAGATTATTTGTTTATGTCTCGAACCGTCTAGTACGAAAATATAGCACCAAATATTATCCACCGAACGTAGATTGCCTAATGAGGCGATCAGTTCAAACAAATGCAATTGCAGACGAGACCCCTCTCAAAACAATAGATTCTAAATAAAACGGGGGCAGAAAAGCACGCAAAACTATCTTGGGGGTACTTTCAATGTTTGAGAACGTTATTTGCAACATTACGGAGAGACTTTGAAACAAATAAACATATAATGTTAACACTGCAAAATAAGCAAACGAGAGAATATGGAATTAAGAATTTATTTGAACTTTCACCTATTTTAAAAGGATCTAAAGTTAAAAATAAAGCAATGTTTAAATTTAAGTGCCTTTGTTGTGTTTACAAAGTAAATGAAAAAATATAGTCCCAACACTAAACAATTTTATTTTAACCACATGAAAAGCAGATATTCCTTACATAAAAGAAATAATGTCGGGATTATTAAGTTGATGTGCGTACGAGATAATGTTTATAAAATTTAATTTTGCAATCAAAGACGCTTTTTTGTTACCAAACAAAAAATAATTTCATATATTAAAAATGCGAATGAAATGTTTTTCATCATTGACCTTAGCTTTGCACTAAAATAAAGAAAACCAGTAAAATAATTTCGGTGATTAACTTTGCGACACTATAATCGCATTTCGTGAATCCTTTCAAGATTTTTTTTTCATATTGAGTTACTGACTTAAACAGCCTGCGCGACAAAATGGCTATATCAAACAGGAAATAATGAAGCGGGAGACTTTAACAGAGAAATATAAATAGCGTCGATTATATAAGACGAGAATTGGGAACTCTATAATGTGAATTGAAATAAACTAACAAATATAAACGACATAAAATAATTTCACTTGGAAATCAAATGTTATCAAAAAATGTCTTCACACTTGTTTTCTTAAGTACAAAAAAGGCAAGAAAAAAATAAAGAAGAAATTTCCAGTGAGTGATACCCACAACCGACAGCTGTACTTGTTAACTATGAAAATGGAAACAGTAAATACAAGAGTTTGCAAAGTAAGTCCTTTTAACAATCTACTACGAGAAACAAATATCACTGATATTGTTACCTCTCACCTGGTGATATTTCAAACCCTGTAGCTATAGAGATAACTTACAACAAGAAATTTACATTTAGTTGACGTTTGTCGTGTAGCTGGAAAGAACAATTTAGGAATAGAAATTGTAAAGTTCTTCAGTTCTAGAGGTGAAAAAAAATCTTATGAAATATGTACAATAAACGACCTGCTTGGTTAAAAGGCATATCATAGTTTCTTTAGAGAAAATAAATTGGTTGTTTTTCCCAAACAATGAGACTAATTTTAGTTTTTTCTCCTTCTAGTTTTTTGAGAAATCTGAATATTAAAAATTTGGAGACAACAATACTTGTGGCCAAAGTATTGATATCGACTTACAGACCTAAAATTAGTTCAAGTCAGACAGTTAGTCTCACTTTTACGATGATTCCTTCACAGGGTTTTTTTTCTTCAGATAACTAAACAGCATATTTTGAAACCGAAATTACGCACGCAAGAAAAGAGAAAATAAATCTACATTCTTTTATCGTTGTTTTAAAACGAATGATCTTGTTAGCGTCTCAGGTGACAGCGTAAGTTCAAAAAGCCACAAATCCGATACAATTAATGTTCAAGAACTCTATGAAATCTTTGCTTGTTACAAACAGAGACCGATGTAGCTAATGCCATTGACCTAATAATTCGCGATGTAAAGGTTAAATAACTAGAGTAAAATGGCATCGCGGTATTCATGTTATGTGGATAATGTTCAAAGCCGGATAAGTCACAATCCGACGTTTAAGGGAACAATGACTTGGTTATTGTTGAATACAATGAGACCCCAATATAACAAACTCCTAGTGACTGCGTTTGACGTGGAAGAACGCATTCCTAATAGCAATTGGAGTGAGATTGTATCGGACAATCGGTGGAGTTTGACTGAACGGATATGATCTTTATAATTGGCCCGTACATCATCATCAACTTGCCAAAGGGGGAGGGAGAGAGAAGGTTTTCGATCGTGGTCGATCGAATTTCTTCCGTGAACTACTTTAATACCAGTACAAACACTTCAGTATAAGGAATTAAAACTTTTCGTTCCAGTTGTAATAAAAATGTGAAAAGACAGCAACATAGTATTGTTCCAGTCCCTAGTCTATTACAGGGACTTTTTTTATATCGGAGTTTCAATGTAGCAGTTAACGTTTGGCACGAGGGAGATTTATACACCAAATGATACTTCTTGTATCAGTTACCCCCAACAAAAAAATTACAAGCTTTATCAACTAAGCTGACAAGTAACGTAAATTGTTGACCGTTCTGGAAGACATTTAATAGCTGGCGTTTCGACAGCTAACCCTAGCCTTCTTCCCAGAGAATTCGATATGGGCTCGCGCGAGAAAGGTAAACTTATGAATTCCTAGCCTTAGGCGGCCAATTTGCTTTAACGACTCAGCTGAGAAAAGTCACATTTCTGCGATTCGTTTCGTTACTGACGGCACCACACCACTCTAAAAACTAACCGTTTTAACCATTCACGGAATGAAAACATTTTGAAACAAAAGAAAAAGAAACTTTAGATGTCCCTTAATCCATGACTAGACTGAGTAAATTGGCTTCGGAAGCCGCAACCATTAAAAGCTATTAAACAGTACTTTCCTCTGGAAATGCCTCATTACGCCGCCGTGCGCTGGGGTCCAACTTCTTAGGGCCTGAGAGGAAAGGAACCATTTACGGTATCTGGCGATGGTCCTTATTTCCAGAGGCTCAGGATATGAATGGACTTAGTGGACCTCTGTGTACATTTCTCGTGGCTTGGTTCCTCTGCGCGGACGTGGCCTTGGGACTGTGGCGCCATGTTTGGGCGATTTCCTCAGCGCATGATATTTCCACGCTTCGGAAATTTGTTTAATCTAGAACGAAAATAAAGACTGGTGTGAACAGATGGTATGAATAGATTTAAAACTGCAAGAAAGAGAACTTCCTCTCGAGGAGGTATCAAATTGACAGTAAGCCGCGCGGCATTTTCCTGAAGCATATGCGTTAATTCAGTTTATTGAGTAATTATTCAAGCCTTCTAGCTGAAACATTCGTGAACCCGTTATTCCACTTAAAATTTCGTAAGGAACGCGCACGAACGAGCGGGGAAGCCGGAGTCGCGAAAAAAGTCTCACTACCGGGTATTACGTTTTCTTCATTCCCCTCGCGGCGTCACCGCTTGATTCTCGCGCGTGCGCTTTCCGATAAAACTGCGGTGCCACAAACGCTACGCAGGCTAGATTCAGGACTCTAGACTATAGACCTGCACTAACCGGAATCATTTTGTCTTTCTCGTTTTCTTGTTCAACTTGTTTCAGTTCTTCTGGTGTTAGTAATGACAGTCTAACATGTTTGATCACATTCTGAGCAACCTCAGCTACTGACTTACCAAGAACAACCTGTAATAAGAAACACAAAAAAGAAACGGACCATACGTACTGAATGTATCTGTGGCCGTATACAGCTATTTCGAGAAAGGTTGTGGGAAAAAGTTCACGCGACGATCCCGAAAGGTATTTGGGTGGTTTTGAGTTCACTGTTCCTCAAAAGAATTTGAAAGAATGGCACGAAAAGGCCGGACGAATGTTTGCAAGAGCTAAACGAAATCAATAAAAGTAGTTTCGACAACTTCAGTGTCAGGAACAGTGGTATTGATCATATCCCATATCACCTTTCGGGATTGTCGCGTGCACATTTTTTTCCGACAGCCTTTCTCGAAATAGCTGTATACGAGTAGATTGCTGTCTCTTTATAGTCCCGGAGAAATGGATAGACTACCAGGCATCACATCTGTTGCCGCCTTTTATATACACATCACAATACGTCCGCCTGCCCGTACACGTAAGCAGAAAAGATGTATAAAGGGTCTGTGTCACGGTTGGCTAGTTCAGTTTTTTTTAAAAAAGCAATGCCAGTTACTCATCCTTATTCGCTGAACGGCCTTGAAACTTGAGAAATTACTCGTGAATGAAAAATATCAGCTTCGTGAGCCATTATACCAAAGGTCACAAGCAACAAAAATGAACTTTGAAAACCTTTTAGGCGAACAGGTTTTCAAAAAGCACAATTGCAATCCGTTTTAGTCTTCTTCCAGTTTTTCCATTCGTCTCTTTTTGTATTTGTTGTGTTATTTATTCACTATTTTAATAACTTGAGCAATGTTTTTTTCATTTTCGTTTGGTGGCAGTTCTCACCGTTTGAATTTTGATAAATTTCGTGACACAGCTCCTTTAACCTAATCAGAATAAAAGTTTACTTGAGGAGTGCAAATCTGATGGAAGATCGAAGTAGTATGCACAAAGTTAATAGGGAGTTTAAGCATCGACGACGGCGACGGCAACGAAAACGTCACTTTTAAAATGAATTGGCGTTTTTTCAAACTTTTTCGCGTTTCTTCCAATTCGCTGAAAATGTCTAAGGTAGGCAAATTTTTCTAGAAGTTGATTTCTTGGGGACCACATTCAAGTTAAGAAAGAGAAAGAAAATTTCGCGGTCGCTTGTTTACATCCTCCATAAAACGTGAAATTAGGCATTTTCACGTCGTAATCGTGCAGTAACGGCTAAGAAATGAACAGAAAAGTGTAATGCACGTGCAAACCTGTTGTTTTTCTTAATACAGCTATTGCTGTTTTGACGGTCTCGCTGCCGTCGCCGTCGTCGTTGCGAAAACTCCCTAATAATTCATCGATGACGGCGACGGCAACGAAAACGGCAAAAAAGCAATAGGTTTAGATCAACAAAACAACAACTTTGCACGTGCATCACGATTTTTGGTACATTTCTCTGCCACCACTGCACGACTACGACGTGAAAGTGGCTAATTTTACGTTTTGTCGAGGACGTGAACACAAGAAAACGACTTTCTTTAAATTTTCTTGATCTTCTATACAGTTTTTTTGGAATTCAACGCCACAAAAATTTGCCAACGTTTGAGAGAACGAAATGGAATAACCGAGTGATGTTAAGTGATGTTTTTGTAGCCGTCACTGTCGTTGTTGCTTCAGCTCCCTAATCAGGGGCACCCAACGAGAATATAGTTCAAAACCACTTAGACATAGCATTGTTAAACGTTTTAGTATTTAAACAGTAGATGTAGGCATATTTTTATCCGCTAAAACTTTTTCATCTGTTCGGATTTCCTAGCTGAAAGTCTAGTGATCCGAAAATTATAGGGATCAGAACTTACCTTTTCGAAAATTTCAGCCGGCTCCCGAAAATTCTAGGTGACCTTTTTAGGGTAAAAATCCGTTAAAAATGGGTAATTATACCATTTTGGGGGGGTTCGAAAATCCTAGGAGAGGCAGGCAAGCAAGAAATTTAACAACAAATTTTCCGAAAATTCTAGATCTCAAATCGTCTTCCGAACAGATATTTTCCAACAATTGCCGTTGGGTGCCACTTCCTAAAACGTTTGTGCCTTACAGAATTGACTGTGGCCCATTCCCTCACGGCTGCAAGAACCTCCAACTCATCCATCATCAGCTTATCACTTTGGAGTAGTTGTGCCAAAGCCTCCTCCGACAACTCGTGAAAACCTTTTGTTCTGAAAACACTCTCGGTGTTTTCTTCAATGAATTCTAAGCAACGTTCTCTTAACTCTTCCTGTCCATAAGTAACAGCGATCTACACAAAAAGAAGAATATGTGCATGAATGTTTTGGTAAAGATGTCTCTGGCAAACCATCTGGGCTCAATAAATAAAACACACTACAAAAAACGCATACATGTGCATACATGTAACACACGTATACATACGTACATACACTGTCTACAGGTGGCCATTACGACTCCTGACGGGGGATCATGACTGACGCTATCCCTATATTAAAATCTCTCCTTACAGAGAACCCACCCAGCCCAGGAAAGGTTGGCCACACCACCAGGGTCTATGTCCCCTACTCTTTTTCAACAGTGATGTGAGTTCTTTTACATCCCATGAAAACCAGATAAGTGTAAGTGCTGTGAGACGGAACCCACTGCTTTTCGTTCTTATCCAAGAATACTAGATGCAGCACTTTCCTCTCAGTTATTCAAAGACCCTGAGTGTTGGTCTGGCCAGGGTTTGAACCCACGACCTCCTGCTCAACAGACCGGCACTTTCCCAACTGAGCTAACAAGGGATCTATATACATGCAAATGTGATACATGTAATATTTTCTAACCATGTGATTTCCATGTTGTTAGTAAATTTTACCCTTCAACCCTCAAAGTTAAAAAATTTAACTCTTTTGGTTTAGTCAAATGTGCCAACTCCAAAATTTTAGGGTTAGCCAAAATGGTCCCAACTTGGAGGGCTGTCCCAAAGCCTGCCTAGGAGCGCAGGGGCCCAGGATGGGGTTGAGTGTCAACATATGAAGGCCTTATGTCCAAGTTAGGATGAAGAGGTTGAGTGAGTGAGTGTCAAATATTATTATATTGTTGGTTGTTTAGGGGTATGATAATGCATGATAATGTTTGAAGCGAGGGGAGTAATATTTGAACCAACTATAAAACATATGCATTTACAAACCTGCATAGCTTCAGAGGCTGTCTCTATTGCCAGTGTTTCACCAATGAACTGCTCACAAATCTACCAAAACAAAAAGAAAAAGTCAGCCAGGGTTTCAAAATTGATGAGTGGAGTCACATATCCACACAAAAATCCATCATTTTAGTATTTTTGAGTGTGGTTTTGTTTTCCAGCATGTGGTCCTCCACTGGGCTTGAGGAATACAGAAGCTGTGGGTCCAACTTCCATGATGGACATCAACTTGGTTTTACCAGATAATTCTTTAATTTTGATGATTTGATTAAGGTTTACAACGTTTACAATTAACGTAAATTGGTGCGAAAAAATAAGGACAAAAACCATTTTACAAGTGGCTGCCTGTTTGTTACTGAAACTTTCTGACAATGACCTTCCCCAACAATTCAGTTATTGCTGCAAGTGGGTGAAGTAAACAGAATATCTATCTATCTAACTAAACTTGACTTCCAGTGCTTTCCTGGGAACACTTAGCTTCTTGCTTGTCTTAATTAATGATTTTGTTAGAGGATGTGAGAGAGTTTTAAAAGTTACTCGCCCCAGACCTCCAGACGGCACTCTTTTCGAGCCCTGAGCACTCATTACTCAATCGTTCCCTTGGCCACTTTGAGGCCTAATAAACTCAGTCCGCTCACTTTATAGCTATTCTGCTGTAAAACTCATGAGGTAGTCTTGTGGCAAGTTTAACATGTAAATTAGCTGACGAATATGAAAGAAATCACAGCAAATCACCTTTTGAAGTTGCTCCAGATTGTATTCCATGGCACACCCCATTATATCCATTACCTACAAGAAAATTACATTATTATCAGGCAAGTTTATACTTCAATAGAGTGAAGGTACATGAAAAATATAGGGTACAACAACCCCCAAGTAGTAACCATTTTGGTCGCCATGGCATCTAAAATTCTGGAGCTGGCGACTTGATTTGTAAAAGGGTCTCCCTAAACCAAAAGAGTTGGCAACCAAGCAAAAACTTTAACTTGGAGGGTTGTACAAGACAGATGGGAATGCGAAAAATGAAAGATTGGAACGTGAAAAATGTAAGATTGGAATGTGAAAATTTGTAAGATTGAAACATGAAAAATGAAAGATTGGAACATGAAAAATTTAGGGAGCTATAAAGACTGGGGCTCGCTGGACACACTGTAAGTCCCACAACATTTTTCATGCTCCTGCTATACAGGCTAGATTTTCAGGTGGTCCAAAATTGCCCATTCCAGTTTTAAGCAAGGATCATTTTACAATATTTACAAAAATCATGAAAACAGTGGTCTTATTTGTTTAATTATCTAATATTGATCCCAAGGGAGGGGAGGAAGGGAAGTTGCCTTCTTGTGTAAACTCACCAACCCTCCCCCACAAGGACAAAGGAACAAAGCAGACTCACGTTTTTACTGTTCAAAGTGCATGTATTGGTGTAAAGAAATTCCAGAAGAGACATAAAGACTTCAGGTGTGACATCGGCCAGAACAAGCGGTACATCCTGTTGATCAGGTTTCTGTCTGGCATTGTCTTTTTGATCCAACAGCATTGCTTTGAAAACTTCACACCTTTATTAAAAGAGAAGGGGTGAACAACTAAGTACTTATCTGTTAAGAATATTGCAGGTGGAATTAGTGACCAATAGAAAAAAATGACAGCTACAGAGTGCAAAGAAAGTCATTTTACAGCTTGCCATTCTTAAATATGAATATCCATTCCTTTACGAGACATAAGGCAGCCGGCAGCATGCGTGTCAGTCTCGCCCACTGAAGATCGAGATTTTGTAACTGTTGTAAATCAACGAAATCTTTCAAAGAACGAAAGCATTTGAGGCTATTTTCTAACTTAAAGAATGGATACATTTAGCCCAAACGTCATTTCAACTAGCCCCAAAAACTTTTTGATGAGCAGAATTGATTTCACAGTTCTTTTGTAATTTGAATTCCTCAAAAAACTTCCCTTGCCCATCAGGCAAGTTAAGAACAGAATTTACTAGCCTGATAGAAAATACACTAGCCCCGGGCTATCAGACACTACTTTCTTTGCATGCTGCAGCAGCTTATCACACAAGTCGACAACACAGTTAGTCTGAGAAGAACAGCCAACATTTCATGGTGTCACTGCTGGTTTCCCTACAAAATGACTTCTGAGGAGAAAAAGCACAGAAATAAAGTGTCACTACCCAGATCTGGGTGGTGCTTTTGAATGGTAAGGCCGCGAAGGAAATTTACAAAGTTTCAATCAATCAGAAGCACAACCCAGACCTGGGTCGTGACACATCACCAGAGTGGAATTTTTGCAGTTTTTCCTTAGACATCTTTTTGGGGGTTTGGGGGAAACCAGCAGTAACATCGTGAAATGTTAGCTGTTTTCTCAGACTACTACGCAGTCAAACCTCCATCATCCTCGATCACTCCTAGACCAAGTTATGACAATTTGGTTGTCACTCAGACTTCTAATCAACTACGACAGCCTACTAGAACTATCATAAATTCAAAAGGGGAAAAATATGCATTTCAGTCATGCATGAAAAATTATGCATTCATTGCTTTTGGTTTGACTCATGTAAAGTCCAGCATCTGACAGGGGCACCCAACGTCAATTTTCAGAAAATATCTGTTCGGAAGACGATTTGAGATCTAGAATTTTCGGAACATTTTTTGTAAAATTTCTTGCTTGCCTGCCTCCCCTAGGATTTTCGAACATCTAAAAAATGGTATAATTGCCCATTTTTAATGCATTTTTACTCTAAAAAGGTCACCTAGAATTTTCGGGAGCCTTTTTTCTGGCTGAAATTTTCGAAAAGGTAAGTTTTTATACCTAAAATTTTCGGATCACTAGACTTTCAGCTAGGAAATCCAAACAGATGAAAAATTTTTTGGGGATAAAAATATGCCTCTATCTAACGTTTAAATACTAAAATACATTCAACAATGCTATGTTTAAGTGGTTTTGAACTATATTCTCATTGGATGCCCCTGATCTGAATCAACGCTGGTCCACAAACCCAGCTGAGCTGATCCACATTCATGATCAATTCGATATATTTTTTAATTGGTTTAGACGCTGTATTTGACACGAACTTAATTTACTGAATTTGATTCAGTTCACCTGATGTATGGCGTCTGAACTGGGCCTAACAATATCAGCGATTAGTTACACTCATGATGTCTTACATACCTAGCCATTAGTATTGCTTTGTTGGCTCGAACTACTTTTCTGTTTGCTCCGACAATGAACTTCACATCACTGCAGACAGTACATAATATGAAAAATATGGCTTTTAATCATTGACAACAAGATCACATACACTGTGTTCTTTCTTATTTTAGTAATTTGTATTGATCAAAATACCTCTTAAACGGTTGACAGTGACTGTTAATAATGTCTTGCTCGATAATTACCCACAGCCCACTCTTTCTTCTCACCTTTGATATTTAGATAAATTCGAGTACAATCCAAATTTATCTTACAATGAGAATGTGAAGATTTAAGATTTAAGTAAAGTTAATTTTGGCAAGGACTTGGCAAGTTGTCAATGACTACCTGTCACGATCAAATAAAAGACAAACAACCAGTTGCCAAGTTTGAACAACAAACGTGATATTTAGTTCATTACAAACCTGAATTCTTTCTTGTCAATAATTGCTCTCATATCGTCAGCGAATGCCCAAGGGCATCCTGGAATGGATCGCTCTTGGGCCATATTGAACTTACTCGAAGAGCAATCAAACGAAAATCACATTTCGATCAAATATTCTCCAAAAAAAAAAGCGCGCGTCTCTGTGGTTATCTGCCAGGCGACAATCAACAACACCACACAGGGAGTGGGAACGAGTGCCATGAGTGGTTTTTACGGTTGTGTAAGCAAGAACGAAATTTTCACCAAATTAGAAGTAATAGTTCAAAAATCCTCGAAGGTACCACTCAGAAAATGATAGAAAAGGCCAGCCATTTCGGCTGAAACCGGAGCAAAACAAGAAAGTTTAGAGCTGATAGGAAAAATGGGCAGGCTTCAATCATTTATAGCGGCCCGGTGAGGGGCTGGAGAAGGGGGTTGGGAAAATTTAGTCAAGCGTCCCTCCTGAACTCCTTAGCCTATTTCACACCCAAACGGTTCAAATTTTGCATCAATTGAGGTTTCCGGGTAACTGACTACCTACCCCTCCACTAAGTCAACATTAACACTTAATTCTCACCTAGGACAAAATGTTGGCTTAGGGAAGGGGTAGGTAGTCAATTACCCAGAGACCTCAATTATTTCAAATCTCTATAGCATTTCAGAGCAAAGGGTAAAACACGTACCCTTTGGCGCCTAACTTAGCTTTATACCTGGAGAGACTACATCCAATCCCCAGCCCTCCAGCCTCCACCCCTGGAAAATAGCAAAATGTCCGTTAGGTAGAGGGGCTTATTTGGTTTTTCATCGCCTCCGATGGGACCACTAAGCTTAGTAAGAAGCTGGGAGAAAAACGAGAGTATTTTCCCCTTGGTGATAATTCAGACGCTAGACTACTTGTCTTGACAGATTCCTTCACATTGTTCTGTTTATTGTTGTTTATTATTTCACAAATACAATTTTAGATTTGTATGTATGCAGTTGTTTCATGACTTTGTCTGGGCTAACCATTTGACACAGTTGTATTTCGGTGTTTGTGAAAGGCACTTAGTGTGTAAACAATACTCTAGATTGAAAAGCGCAAAAATACTTTATTGATCTTATCGTATCAACTATTATTAACTAAAATGCTTTAAAACGTCGTGGGAGTAGCAATGTTCCACTACTGCAATTAGTAAAAAATAGCCTCTCGTAAGCAAACACCGATATTTATAACAGTTTCTTTTTTTAATTCAGTATGTATGTTTGGGTATGGTAATGTATGCTAATAAATTTGACACAAAGGAAAAACAAAAATTAACCGAAATAAAAAATTAACCACAACATGTACACGCAGTAATGGCCACACAAGAATATTTCCCTCCACTTTGTCCTATCTGCGTTTTTGCGATCCGGTTTTTCGAGTTTTGAAGGACACAAGGCCAACTCTCTATAAGACGGAATCATAACTAGTTGTCCCTTTGAACTACGTATTCACCTTATGGAGTCCAACATAGCCCGCGTAGCAATCAATTTTTTAGTGTTTTTCGTTAGCGTTTTGTAAATAAAGATGTCAAACGAGAAACCGATGAGGGAGGGGGCAAAAGAAAGTTCTTTCTCTCGCCCCCCCTTCGTTTTCCCGTTTGAACTCGGCTCAGATTTCGCGCGGCTGTATCTCTTACTTCACGAAACACAAACAAAACACACACCTAGAAAAAACAAACGCCAGCTACGCGGACTAATTCCAAGGTTTGCATGGGCTGTCCTAGTGAGGTGTCCGTCTGAAGATTGTATGGAAAAATTTCCAGCATTTTTAATTTAATCAAGCTGTATACGAAAAGTATGCCTCTTTTCTTAACAGCCAGGAAGCTAAAAAAATTTATACTTCAAAAACCAAACCTTCAAGCTTATTTGGTTTACTTACAATTTAACGCTAGAAAAAGTTAAGACCAGGAAAAGTATTGGAAGGAATGTAGTGTTGGCAGTGACTTGATGATTCTGTTTCAATAGAACTTATAACAGCTACAGACCAGTATCTGACCAGTATACCCAGTTACATGCAAGGCTTGACAAAACCTGTGTTTGGATGACCGTTTTCTTAAGGAAAATTATTCCTTGCAAATTAAGACACATGTAAGACTTTATCTTCATCCCTTGATTTGAACAAACGTAAGCTTGGCTTCCGTTTGCCTTAGATTTTTGATGTTATACGAATTCCCTGAAAAACAAAAGAGAAGATACCTAAGAATGGTCGCCGCATATTGAAAAAAATCTTTACGATTCCTCTTTCTGCGTATATATGTAACTTTTGACCCACGAACACACAAGCAAAGGGGAGGAAATTCGTCGAAAGAGATAAATGTTCAAGGAAACAAATGGCAAGGTGTTGTGCGTCCAAAAGCGTAGCGAAAAGTAAACGCTTGGGAAAATCCCAAGTCCGGTGGTTTCCTATGCTGTATATGCAAGACCTGATGAGGCCAAAACGACAGTCCACGGTTTGCTAACCCACGTGGGCCAGTTTCTCTGTCGGACCTTTTTTCCGAGCCCACGAACCCATGAAAAGGTGTTTGAAATCTGCAATGTTTACATTGAAGATGAAAATTTTAATTGTCTTCAAACGGATGTAACGAACCTCTCAGTTAATAAAACAGTTAAGCTGGTTTGTAAGTAAGATTTTCACTTTAAAGGGAACCTCCACTCTCACTACAGAATAAGTTTAAATCGAATAAAATTATGTTGATAAACAAATTTGTTCGAAATTTGTCTTAAAAAAAGTGTTTATAAAAAGTGAATTTTAAAATCGCTTATTTTCACTTTCAAATTTCGCGGGCGCCGCCATCTTGAATAATTGTGACGTGTAACGGTTGCTGTATTGTTCTGACACAAAGAGCTTTTGTTTAATAACAATAGGGCAACCATTACACGTCACAATTATTCAAGATGGCGACGCCCGCAAAATTTGAAAACAAAAATAGGCGAATCTAAAAGTTATTTCTTTCGGATACAAACGCTTTCTTTAAAAATATTTTAGATTGACTTGACTGTAACAGTTATTTCCTGTGATTTAAAGTTATCTTTTTGTTGAAGTGGAGGTTCCCTTTAAAATCTGGCTTCGGCACAAAAAATTAAACACGGACTTTGACGAGAGGGCCACACGTTCTTGGGATAAAACATACATAGCAGTGTTGGTAGGATTACCCTAGGTGCCAGAGGCTTTTCTTGCGCGGTTTCCGCTTTCAGCCAAGTCTTATTAAGTGAAAAACACGCGCAAAAATCGGGTTTATTCCCTCAAAAAAGAGGTCATCATTTTCTCGTGGCTTCGCAACCCGTGGCCTTGGCTCTGGCCGAAGATGTGTCGGCTTTGAGGCCGAGCAGAATCTCACCGCAAACGTCGCACTTGAGAAAAAAAAACTTTTTGTACCCAGTGTATGGTAAGGCCATAGAAGGTACAAAATACAAAAAAGTAATAAAACTCACCTTGAGGAACAAAAAACGTCGATCCAGTGCCAAGAACGACAGAGGACTGGTGAACAGTGACCATAATGCGGCCTTTTATGACGTAAAACACCTTCAAAAAGTTAAAGCAAACTACAAGTCAGAATTCTTAATCGGAAATTACTCGAGGCTCTTGTCTCGATGTAGTCTTGAATGTCAAAGTTGCTTTCGTTTTAATACCCTTTCTTATGTAAATAACTGGCAAAAAATTTCGCGCCAGTTTTTAGCCAATCAGAAAGAAGAAATAAAATCAATTACTACTTGGTCACATGCGTTTTCCCGCGCTTTTGGTGGGCTGCATTTAATTTCATCGACCTTTGAATGGTTCTTTTGATTGTCTGTGTTTGCCCCTGGCTAAAGTAGATACCTTGTTTGTTTTTATGACAATGAATTGAAAATGCTCTAAGGCTCTACCATTACAAGAAAACAGAATACAGTAGTTTAATTACAATTTAAAAACCCTTCGCACTGACCCCTCTCCAAATTTACCAAATTTTAGCTACGATGTTGAGTTGAAATAACCACGAAAAAGTACGGGGACTCACTTTTCAGCGAAGTCTCATGCCAACGATTGCATATCGCAAGACCCCTACGTCGAATTGCTTAAAATGAGAATATCTACCGGCTTATTCAAATTTGTTTTGCAAAAAGGAGTGACAAACAGTCGTCTAAAATTACCAGTACATTTTGCGGCTCACGATGAATGACACAAAACTCACCATTGTATCGTTGCGAACAAACTGTCTCCCTTTCTCGGCTCCAGGCCTCAAAATGACTTGCCCACCCCCAAAGAGTGGCTGGGAAATGAACTTGTGAACGAGAAGCGGGTCATCATCCTGCGCGGGTTTACCCGCGGGATTCGAGAAGTTTAACATGCCTGGGACATGAAAAATATCTGGAAGGAAAACGTCGTGGTTAATTGCCCTGCGCTTCTTTGGAAAAATGAAAAAGACAATCTGGGATGCACACGAACTCAAAGTTGATTCAGTTGGAATCAATACTATCATGATTAAATTTACAGAGATGTGGAAAGAAAAGCACAATCAACAACGGCAAAATAGTGAGGTGCCCAAAATGCGACGTTCTTCACTCACCCATATCGACATCTTCGTTGGTTTCGGGGTTAAGAACGATTCCTTTAGGGTTGGTCACTTCTTCAAACCCTTCTAAGCCCTCCTGCAGCAAAAAGAAATTAAACTGTAAATTCCAGCTTTGAAACTCAGCTGTTTGAAGTGAACGAATAATGGAAAGGCGGTGGGAAGCTTTTTAGCGGCGTGAAAAAAGAGCAACAGATTACGCAAAAATGAAGCCAAAACGTAAGACTAAAATACAGCACTTCATATCCTGATATCAATCGGCTCCTGACTAATATACATTTTACCATTAAAGAGCTGCAAATAACTGTCGTTCATCTTCATATTCCATGACTTACCATGACCTTTTCAAGTTTTCCACGACCTTAGATTTAGCTGTCACTAATCTATCGAACAAAACTTTAATTTTCCACGACTTTCCATGACCAACGATAGAATTCCATTACTTTCCAGGCCTGGAAAATGAAATTCTTAAATTCCACGACTTTCCAGGTTTTCCATGACCTGTATGAAACCTGGACAATGTTTTGTGGCCGGACATGATGTCCACACAAAGGTACCAAGGACTATTCGTGGATACGCCATGGATCCTTAACTGAGTTCGACCAAACTGATGACTTAACAAGGCTCACAAAAAAAAACATTTGCAGCCCTGTCTTTACTAGTGTCTTTCTTTCTTTGATTTGCGTTTTAAGAAGCTTACTTGAAAAAACCCTTCATCATATACTTACATTATCAAGCTCTTCTTCCGAGGATTCCATAACGTTTACTAAAAAAAGTGAAACAAACGAACAGTAAACTCAAAAAATTGACCTGCTCCCAATGTGTGGGTCCTCATAGCTCAGTAGGTTGAGCACTGCAGCTCTACCGCCGACATTATGGTCTCGAATCCCGTTGAAGCCCTGAATTTTTATTCGGGCTTAATTCGTAATCGCTTAAATCGCGATTACAAACTGCAATGGTAATATCTGCAGTTAAATTTGTATTTCCGCAGTTAATATTTTCCTGTTCATTCTAAACTAAAAAGATCGTTACCCCTGCAACGTCAATCATTTTAAAAGTACAAGTTCATAAGCGATACCTGACTTTGGCTTTCTTTCGACACGTTTTTTGGTCTGTTTTGTTTTTCTTCTCGGCTTTGGTGTAGGAGTTGGGTTTCTTATGACTTTTTTTATGCACCAACCCCCTGACGGAAGAAAATACAGCAACAACATTAGGCCTTAACGGTTTGATTTGTCCCCTCTCGTGCGACAAAATCACACACTACCACCCACCCATTAGAAGCAAGTAAAACACCATGTTATGAATGACCATAAATACCCTTTACTAGAATCGATAAGGTAAGATAAAGTTCCGGCTTTCGTAGAAGACAGACTCCTAATTATAAATGTTGAGAACAGTTTCTGTCCGAGATACAAGATCCGTTTCGAATTAAAACAACAGGGCCCCAGTCTTCTAGTTTCCATGGAAACTCAGATTACATCCCAATCAATTTCTCTTAGATACATCACATGTTCCTAAGGTCTTGCCCAGTCCTAGAGTTCATGTTGGAGACTAGACTAAGCATGCGTGTAGTTGAGTCTTTTGATGTGAGCGCAATCAACTGTAATGTGGTGGAAGAACTGTGATTGTGACAAACTTACTGACTTGTGACACTGTTGGAACTAAACTATCATTGCTGTCGGAGGCAAAATTGAAATAAAAAGGAGACGAAAAGATGACAAAAGAGGAAAGAAAGAAAAGAGTCGATAGCAAAGAAAGGCAAAAATCATTCCCATCTACTCTACCTGATTTTCGTCGCTCATAATCTATTCTCTCATTCTTCCAGTACTGTAATGGCGGCACAATAGTTCGTTTACTTCTTCTCGTGCTTTGTTCGTCTGACACATCTAAAACAAAAACCAAAAGAATCAAGCAAAATTTCCAGACAAATCATTCTCTGCAAAGAGCTTTCGCCATTTTTGAAAACGAGAAGACTGCTCCTCGAAATTGCATCACATGTAAAATATCCATTTTTGTCCAATTTTTTAGACAAAAGTAACCCCAAATCGACATATTAGTGCAAGAATGAGTGGATCTACATCAGAAATTTTGAAGCCGTTCAAAAAAACTCGCAGTCGTTATTATCAGGTTTAAAATCTCGAGTTGAACTTCTGCTCGTTTTTAAACAGTACATAGCATATTATAATAATACTTTTATTTATACTATACATACTAAATATAAAACGTTAATTGATCGTATTGAAGTCAACGAAAAAGATAGGGCAGGATTAGGGAAAGAACTAACTATTTCTTCTCTAACTAGGAATAAACTGAACAAAAATAAAATGTAACTGTGAGGTTTAAAAGTAAACATTACGAGAAAATAAGTACAGTTCAGTTAGCAGTTGTCTACATAACAGCGACTTTAAAGTAGTTTACGTATCGTCAATTGGTAGATTTACCAAACAGCATTGACGTCACTTGAAGACAGAACTTTAGAAGTTAGAATAATGAAAATCAGAAGAACACAACTCACCTTTATGGTGCTCAGCGTCATTAGTGAAAGTAACCTCTTCATCAGGATCGATGACTGAATCACCAGTGCTAGACGCACCACTAGCAGATCCAACGGAAGACCTTATGGTCCTCGTGCTCCCAGGAGTAAAGGTCCTGTCTGTTGACTTGAAACTGCTGTTTTTGGAAACGAACGATAATCCAGGCAGAGGGGAATGCTTGGAGGTTTCAGACACGGAAGGGTCTTGGGGCGAAGGTGCGACGAATGGCGCAGAGGCAAAGCTGACCGTTGAAAGGCGGTTCCTGTTGGGTTGTTTCGCTGGTAAGGCGCTCTCGTCATCAGCGTCATTGCCATCCGAGTGAGTTTTGTCTGTGTTCATTTGTCTCTTCCTGGACGCTGTTGAAAGAAAGAAGGGATCGATGCAAGTTTCTCGGAAACTACCTACCTACCCCTCCCCTACGCCAACATTAACACATACTTCTCACTTACGGCAAAATATTGGCTTAAGGGAGGGGTAGGCGAGCGAACGTACTAAGCTTCCACTTCTGGAATACGTAATGGTAACATGATGTAGATACAACTTTCGAGTCTGTGGATGGAATCCTAGAGTGAGACCATTTAAATTAAAGCTACTGAGCAGTACGTTCCTGTAGTATTGTTTATCACGCTGTAAGGTGATTCTAACTTTTTTAGTCTGTGTATGAAATCCATGGTGTGACCATACCAATGATAGCTACTGAGCAGTACTTTCCTGTGGTTCCGTACGGTTTATTATATTGTACTAGGTGATTCTAACTTTTGAGTCTGTGGATGAAATCCCATGGTGAGACCACACAAATGATAGCTACTGAGCAGTACTTTCCTGTGGTTCCGTTTATTTTATTGTACCAGGTGGTTCTAACTTTTGATTCTGTGGATGAAATCCTAAAGTGTGACCATTCAGATGAAAGCTATGGAGCAGTACTTTACTGTGGTACTGTTTATTACGCCTTACAAGGTGGCTCAAACTACTGAGTCTGTGAATGAAATCCTATAGTGTGGTAGACAATGAAAATGCTCCGACTGCTCTTAACTAATAGCTATGCCAGGCGCTTTTTCAAACATCTCAATCTGAGCAAGATCAGATGTCCAAAATAATCATTCATACTTTTAATCAATACCTGCATGTGTTCGCACCACAGGACCACCAGACTTAAGAATCGACTTCAATTCAGTGGCTGGTTTACCAAGCGCGGAAAGCGGTCTTGGGGTCATATCCTCAGATGGAATTTCTTCAAAAGTCCTGCCTTCAACTGCACCATCTTCGCTCACCGAATAATCTACATCGCCTTCGTCATAGCCTTCGTTTTCATCGGCATCCTGCAGTGATTTCTCGTGACCATCCTTGGAACTCTTGGTGCTGTTTTTTTGTGCCACTGATTTGTTTCCTCCCTTAGAGTTGCCGCCAGACTGAGCGCCTCCACCACTTTTCCTCGAATTCACTGCAACCCAAGTTTTTGCGCCACGTTTCCCAGAATTCAACGCAGCTTCTTTCTCAGTTAATACTTCCTCTAATCTAGGTTTTTTGGCGTATGTTCCCTGCTCAGATTCAGTAGTGCTTTCGGGACTACTCGCCGACACAGAAGCTTTTGAGCTGTTCACTTTATTTGCTCTTCGTTTTACCGCATATGGTGGTAATACAGAGGGCTTCCGCCGTCTTCTTCCTGTGCCACTGTTGTCCTTTTTCCTGAATTCTAAGCTGGATGAGACATTGTTTGAAACAATGGTACTACCACTTCTTGTTTCCTCTTCACCCTTATCAGAGGAGGACTGATCTTCGTCCAACTCATCGACAGTATCCAATGCCATAACCCTGCTACTGTTAGCCATTGCATCACCTGTCGCGTAAAGCTCATCTTCTTGTCCTGTGTCTTCCGGTTCCATGACTCCATTATCTTCCTGATCTTCAACCTTGGGAACTAAAGCGGACTCCGCAATATTGCCTTCTTCTTCTCCTTGGTTGTCATCCCTTCTTTCAGTATTTGCTTGCCTTTTCCTCGAAGCCCTAGTCTTTCTTTTACTTGCTCCTGCTTTCCCGTCTCTTTTGCCTTCCGAAGGCATGTTTACTTTTTCCTCTACATCTTCCAGTCTTGAACCACCTCCAACGCCTTCTTTTCCCCCGTTTCCATCTTTTCTGTCGATTAAGGCATCCTCCGTTTTCTTCCTTTGCGCTCTGGTCTTCTCTTGACTTACTTTTTCGTATCCTGTGTTCTTAGACGCCTCGTTCTCGTCCTCTATAACATCGTCAACTCCACCTTCTTCATCTCCTTCCCCACCGCCATCTTTCCCTTGGAGTTTGTTATCAGCTTCTTTTCTCCTTTGCGCTCTGGTCTTTCGTCCACTCAGTTCAACTTGTTCATCTGATTCACTTCCTTTTGCGACATTCTTTCTTTGCCTTCCTGTTTTCAGCTCCGCAGGTTTCTCGTGATTGTCGGCATCCACGTCACCGCTTTTATCTTCACGGACTTCTTCTTTTTCATCTGTCTTTTCCTTCCTTCCTTTCACGGGCTCTTTTTGCTGTTGTCTGATGTTTGGGACACTTCTCCTCCCTTTCCCTCGTTTCTGCTCTTCTTCGTCGTGAAGCCCCTCCTCAGAAAAAACAGCGCTGGATTTACCATCGTTCTTCGAACTTTTTGACAGCTTCTGTGTTTGTACCTTGGTACCAGGCATACTCTTGGCTCGCCGTTTTCCTTTCTTCGTAACACCTTCATTATCAACCTCCAAAGCCTCAGTTTCCGCAACCTTCGAGCTTTCAACTTTGTTCTTTCGTCCTCTCGTTACTCTACTTTGCCCTGCCCTGGAACTAAATGACTCCGTTTCTTCATCAACTTCACCCGCGTTGTCAACTTCCACATTGTCTATGTACACTTCTCCATTATCCTCATGACCCTCAATTGTCGACTCTTCCGCCTTTTTCTGTCTTCCCCTTGCAGCATTTTCCTTGGCTTCTTGTTTTCTTCCCTTGATGACTTGCTTTGGTTTTCATTGTCATTTGACGACCTTCCATCTAATTCACCACCACCATTCTTTCTGCCGTGTGGACCATTCTCTTGCCCCTGCACTTTCTTCTGCTTTCCTCTCGTAGCTCTCTGTTTGATATTAACACTTACTCCCTTCTTTCTCACTGGAATCCTTGATTTCTTAACCTTTGGTGCCTGAGCATCATTCACATCTGGTTGACTGTCTGAGCAGGATCCAAACTCTGGCGACATTGTCTTATGTTTCGTCCCTTCCAGAACAAAACTCTCACTCATAACAAAACTCTCCGCTTCGGCAGCAACGGGAGACTTATCTACCACGGTACTCTTTAAATATTGCGTTGTGTTTCCAATGGTGAGAAAAGTCTCATCTTCCTCAATTCCCTCCACATCAATGACTTCTTCATCATCATCAGACGTATCCTGTTGTTTTTGGTTTTGTTTGGCTTTTGTTGCTCTGCTATTTTCAGTCTTTTCTTTGGGTTTGGTAGCGGTTTGAGGGTGGTCATTAGAAACTACAGCTGACGGTGATTCAATCTCGACGTCAACAGCATCATTTTCAGAATCACTGTTCCCTGTCTTTCCATTCTTAACCGCCGTGCAGTTTACATCATGCAGTCCTCTTCTGATATGAAGACAAAGAGAACAAAACACTTACAAACTGAAAAATACACCAGATTAGATTCGACGACAAGGCAACTGCGAGGAGGAAATTTGAGTTAAATTTTTTCTCTCGAGTATTCTCAATAAATAGACATCACGGAAAGCTTTATTTCACTTTTTTTACACCAGAAAAGTTACACGGTTACTCTTATTGAAGGAGGTTCATAGCTCTCCCTAAAACTCGTAGTAGAATTGCGACAGCTATCGCGTTTTCCGGCCAAAATAGCACTGGTTCACGCGCGCACTACTTAGTAATTTGAAGAAATCCCGTTTTCGTAGTCGTCCTCGTCTTAGAAGCTAAGGTTCTCGAATATGTCTTTCATCCCCTCGCCAGCAGGTACAGTGTAGAGTCTCATCAAGCCCAGAAAGAGATTCAAAGGGAAAAAGAGTGCCTTCTATTCAGGCGTAATTTCCTCTACTTATTATTAAAGGGGTGTGACAAGCAACTTGTGTCAAAGCATTAGTATAATGTTCACAAAACTTTAAATCCAAACTCTAAAACAGAACTGCACTAACAAGAATGGTCATTGTACGCTTGATTACCAATGGAACAGGAGGAGTACTTAATAAGTGTCCCCTCAACGAAGCAGTTAAGTGCTCTCCTTTGAATAAGTGCCCCTTCTTGGTGCTTGGGTGCTTATTCAAGGAAATAAGAGGCTGTCCACACTTACTGCTTGGGAACCAGGGCCTGGGTTCTGGCACAAAATGGTCATGTGTTCACACTTTGAGTACCTGATATGTGACTGTGTACATAGTTACTCCATTTCACCCTGTCAGACACCATTTTGAAACATGAGCTTAGCACAGAGAAAAAAGCCGTGGACTACGCGGAACTTACAAACATCGTTTGCACACAGGAACCTGGTGCCCACTTTTGTACCTGAGTACAAGGTCTTAACCTTGTACTCGGGCATGGGCACCCTGCCTGAATTCTAGGATGGGTACTTGAAAAAATGGTGTGTTCACATTGGTGCCCAGCGAGTATCGCACTCAGGCACCGTGACCAGGCACCAAGTGTGAACACTGAAATTGACAGTATTATAATGAAATAGTTCACTCAACATGAAAACAAACCTGGCAGACTTTGGCTCGTTGGGCTCTGATTCACTTAGCAATTCTCCATGTGAAAATGACAATCTACAGACAAAGATGTGATACATATGTTGTGTTTAAATTTGTCAATTTTTTTATTGGTTTTACTTTCATTAATGGCCTGTGGCACCCCCTCCCAAGCTCATCTTTATGTGATGAGTTTAACATGAAAGCACATGGGGGTCGACCATCAGCGCTAAACAAAAACTTGAATTCCAGGCTGTCCTTTGGGAAAGCAGCTCTGAGTCATGTTTTGCTTGCCCAGGGCAACAACTTGCTTGTATTAGCTTATGTTTCAGTTGGAGGATGACTTTCCTGGACACTTACCTGGAAGTGAGCTTTAACCCTTTACACCTTAAGATCAAAATTTGAATTCTCATTTGTTGCCCCAATTCATTTCCTACAGAAAAAGTGGGGAGAAGTTGATAAAATATCAAGCAAATTCTTCTTGTGTGATCATGTCCATAATTCTCATGACCACTCTGTTTTACAAAGTCATTTGCTTGCCTAGCAACAAAAACTACATTCATCTGGAGTGACCAGACAGGACTTTACTGAAGCCCTGGTTCATGCTCATAATTGCGAGGGAGAATTCATAGCACTCATCTTTTAGTAACCCACACCCTGAGTTCTTTTGGATCGTCACACAATCCTTCCCAAGAACCCCTGACAAACCCCTTAGAACGATTGGGTAGGAGACTAATCTACATGTATTATAAGTGACAGCCTTCCTATCTAAATTTACATTGTTCACATCCTAAAATTAATGACTGTTCCTACCTCTTGCTGACTGGTCCTCTAACCTCTGGAGTTGGTTCAGAGGATGCAGCATTTTTAATAACAGTTCCAGTCTCGTTTGGAGATTCACCAGTTACGGTAGGAGTAGCTGCTGTTTCCTGCTCTTCAGTAGTGTCAAAGGTACCTTCAGAATTTGTCTTTTCTGACAAGCCAACTTCAGCTGGTCTGTCGTCTGTTTCTGTGTTGCCAGGCTGACCTTCTGCCGGAGACAATTCCGTTGATTTATCACCACCTTGAGGTTCACAGAAGATTGTGAATGTCTAATCTTTTTATCATAATAAATTGTACCTTAAGCTCAAAATGTAAATGTTGACTTTTAGGCAGTGTGTTTCACAAACGATATATATCACACTGGAAATTCAAAACACTCTCTTCTCCACAACATGAGTCTTTTTTTAACCACTTTTATTTGATAGAATTCCAAAGTAGTCCGGGAGCATATGTACTCCCGAGGGAATTTCGTAAAGAAAGCAAGCAACTAGGCTAGTTGTGTTCAGGGGACCTAAAAGAACAAGAAAAACGATGTTGCCACTTTTGCAACCCTAACGGAGGCATTTTACAGGGTATTTTAAAAACAACGCCAAAAGCCCTGTGTGGAAATGAGGCTGAGAATGAAAATCTATCATAAAAACATTAGTTTTGTAAATTGAAACTGCTGTTGTTCCAACCTGATTCAGGAAAGTAATCATCAACATTGTCAAATCCCTTGGAATCTTTTCTTGGGTTTATACTGAGTATTTTTCCAGTTCTCCTGTTGAAGATAAGTATAGTACAAATTATCAGCAGTTGTTGATATTGAATATGCAACTGTTTTATATTAATTACTGACAGGAAAGTAACTGAAAGTTAAAAAGTGTATATTTTAATAAGCATTATCTTATTTGACAAAATAACTAGTTTGGATCTACATACCTTCCAACAAAATCTTTATCTGAACTTTGTGCATTGGGAACAATATTTTCCTCCTCTGGATCTATACAGGTGAAAAAGCAAAGAGTTAAAGAAGAAACAACAGATAATAACGTATGCAGCTATTCTTTTAAGTTTATCATCAATTAAATTAGGTTGAGACCAATCACTAATCATTTGCCATAACATTTGGTAGGTCTCACCTAAGATCACATGATAAATTAAGTACGGTAGTCCTGACCTACAATATAAATCTGAAATGTAAGAATTCAAAATAAGACAATGTCTGCCACCTATCAAAAATAATTATAGCATTGCTTTTTCACACATTTCTGGACCAGATTATGCAATAGTCTCAGGGTCATGACCAACATTTGAAATTTTTCATCTTTAAACTAAATAGTATTAGTTACAAGTAGAGTATGAAAATAATCTAGAGGGGAAACTTTCTCCAGGAGTATAAATATGTTTTAAAAAAATCATCATCCAACCATTACTATTATAGAAACACGACAAATTAAGTTATTTGGGGGACATACATTACACTGATTAACTTTCAATTTCTTTCAATAAAATGCAATATTCAATAAATCTTAAGCTTCAAAATTGCAGTCCTTGGTGACCTGTACAGCGTTTTCAGTAGGATTAAGTAGGTGGCAAAAGCTTTGCAATAGGTGAAGAAGGAAAAAAAGTGCGGCAAAGACGCGATTTGCAAGCACTGAAGGCGCAACCTTCTGGAAAAAATTTGAAAGCTGGGCTTCTAAGAATGTATTTCCAGCATTCTGGAGCAAAGATTAGAGTGTTTGAACAAAACACAGACATCATTGAATTTTTTTGACAGCACATGAATACTTTATTGCAACTTGGGTAAAAGTACATAGGTGGCGAGTTCACTTGAAATAGCCAGTGAATTTTGCCAGCCACCGGCTCTTACTGAAAACCCTGCCCGTATGGTCATCATGTGTGACTGAAGGGAGGATTCCGCTGGACACGAACATTTTTTACGTCAAACAAGGTCTAATGAGTGACAGTTGTAACAGCACTTGTATTTTGGTAAAAACAACATATACCTGAATCAGGGAAGTAATCGTCTATGTTATCAAATCCAAAGGAGTCTTTTCGGGCATCAATGTTTAAGGGAACACCAGTGCGCCTGTGATAAATGCAGCAAGAAACATAAATCAGTCAAGAATTATTTCATTTTCTTAATACACTATGAAGGAGCATTGGAAAAAGCCCTAGGTAAGACTGCATGAGAGGTTACTGAAATCAAAGTACTTCTGCTCTTCTGGTTGTGAGCAAGTTGCGTGAGATGAATCCTGATCTGTGTTTTCTTTTGCACAGACTTTTGAGCAGTTGAAAAAATTAAATGATTTGATAGAGCGGTGATTTTGTTACCTCTGCGTCCTGCATCCCTGACGCATAAAAATCCCTAAAGACACAAAATAATTTGTGGTACATGTGTCCCGTAAGACGCAAAAATAGATTGATGGATCTTAACATGTTTTTGAAGAATGTCCTGTTTGTGTGATTTCTGTGGCTGTTCTTATGGCTGTTGTTTAACGACACAAATTCCTTTTTTTCTTTATTGTGCTTGACAATAGAAGGAGTATATTTTTATTTCCGTAAACTGTACAATACAGAGTTTTGGGGTCTGCCTTCAGATTAACTGTGTGGTTACATAAAGACCCAGGACTCTTGTTTTTGAATTGGGACTCAATGGTTGTGAACTGGGACTCATGAATTTTCACAAGATGAGTCCCAGGACTCACCATAACTATTTGTAACAAAATCACTGACAGAAATGTACACAGGCAGCTTGGAAAAAGAAATCCCAGTGCCCCCAACAGGAGTCAATCTATGACCTTCTGGTTAACAGTCCAGATGCTCTCCCACTAAGCTACAGGAGACCAGTGGGAGCCAAAGCCGTTAAACTACAATCAGCGACAAAATTGTTGAGACATTGTACTCAAATAGGATGACTTCAAGGAACAAAAGAATCCACACCCCCCTTCCCTACCCTCTATTCAAAGTTGGGGTGCTTGTTGTTTTCTATAGGTAGCTCGAACAGTGGCACAACATTGCATGGAGGAGATGGGGGAGGAAAAGCTTTACATGTATTTTCCCGTTTAGAAGTCAGTAAAGGCCGATTTAGACAGTTTGATTTTTTCTTACAAGTATAACACTGTACACGACTAGCATACTTCAAGACTTTCAACCATCCACACACCCACAATTTTCACCTACAACATCCACAATGAATGTCGTGGGTCTAATTTACACGACTCGATCTGTTGTGAAGTCATGATGCATTCTCATCGTAAGCAAAAATTGTACTGTCTAAATCCGTCTTAAAATGTCAGAATGCCCCTTTAAGGCGAAATGTGTCAACTGATTAGTCGCCGATTGTAGGTTAATGTGACAAACATCCGCATACTGCTTTTAGTGGCCTTAGCTCCCATGAGTTTCCTGTGGGTTTCAGAATCCATCTAGTACGGGTGGAGATAAAAAATGGACTTCCCTGCTCATCAAATAAGAAGCACAAAGTAGTAGTAACTTATCCGTCAACTATCAGTTTTTGAAATGATTTCCTATCACTGATTTTCATCCCCAGACGTTTAATACTTAAATTAAATCAAATAATTAATATCTCAAAGAAATAGCATTATCAAGGTTAAGTGACTACCAACCTTCCAATGCATGGATCTTGGAAGGGATCATTTGGAAGATAAAAATCAATGTGCACTGTAGTATTTCTTCTAGCAGCCTAAAAGAAGGAAACAATATTCAAATCAGCCTACAATATGAGTTACCAGGCAGCAGCTGAACTGGTGGCCTTGTGAATAACTAATCAATTTATTATTATCCAAAACACTGACTGTATGGATCACTAGCTCAGAGGTATTTGATCCAGAAGTAACCGATCGCGAGCGAAAGATCGGTGACACAAAATCCTGAACACAGAGTACCTTTACGATACGTGTCACTGAACAAATTTTATGCAAATACGGATCGATCGATTCGTAAGATCATTTGTCTCCAGCCACGAAAATTTGATTCCCTTTGAAATCGGAGCTTTGCAATGCACAGGATAAACTGTTAAAAGTAAAAGCAGAGAAACTTACAAAACTGTAAACAGACCTTAGCTGTAGCCGCCATCTTGATTCACGCTATCCCGAGTTCAGATCAAGAAATTCATTCGATGATCTGTTGCCAGACGCTGCTCACAAAACACATTTCCACTGCCGCTTATACGTGCACGTTGAAATAAACAATCGAGGATTAATAAAAAGCTGTTTCGATGGTCAAAACATCGCAGTTTAGACTTTCGCGCTCGAGTCGGTTGAGGAAACCACAACACCCATGATGCCTCACTGCTTAAGAAGCATAACGCTGAGATGTTCGCGCGCGGGCTTGAACTGAAACATACGCAGAGTCAAAGGATTGATGAGGATTGATAAATTTTATGATGATTTGGGATTCACACGAGCCTATTTGAGGTGACTAGAAAAAGAGGAAGAGGAACTCCCCGACTTGCTGCAACTGCACCACAGGTAGACTCCTCTCTTGGGATTAATCAAATCCAAACGACCTAACCTGCATGGACAACTGTCTCTGTTTGTGTGTAAGATATTACGCAAATAATATTGCTGAGTCAAGATTACTATCACCCTTAATGACAGTTGTCAGTTTATTTTAAGGGTAAATTTTGATTATTGTGTTTTAGCTTTTGTAAATGATTTTTTTAATGTTGTTGTATTTTAACTTTTAGTTTTAATAGTTGCTTCAATTTAGGCTAGTTGTTTTTAACTTTGCCCTCATGATCATTGATATCAGCATTTTATGCTGAGTTGAGTCATTTTCTCCTGATCATTTCAGTAGTTGACCACTTGACAGTCTATTGGGAGAAAATTGGTTGGTCAGTCGATAGTCACTTTTCTCCAGGGCCCTCATGATCATTGAATCGGATCACTGACAGATCATCGTCAGTCAATACTGTTGGTTGACCTGACAGATGATAAACCAATACTTGGTTGATCTGACAGCTAATACCTTGATTGACTCTCAACTGACACTTGCCTGATACTCGTCTGATATAAAAACTGATACATCAACTGACAGACAACCAAGATGCCAGGCCGATACGTGAAAATAGCCCATGATTTGGTGATAGTGTCTACCACGTGTCAGTTGACAGGTACCTTGTAGCAAAGGGAAAAGCCTTAGTGATGAGGTTGGAAAAAAAATTGTACAGGCTATGCCAATTGTCAACTGATACGCCACCAATACCTTACCCATTCTCTGCTGATGGTTCACTCATACATTGCCGACACCCCACCAATGCCATCACAATGACAGTCCATCGATCTGTTGACCAACTCTTAACTGATCCTCAGCCGACAGTAAAACACCACCTGGCTGATGTATTGACCAACTCTTGACAGACACTCAACCGATATAGCGACTGACATAGTGACTGACTGTCAACCAAGATGTTGGCCAATATATTGCTCAACTCCCGCTATAAGAGACATGGTCCATAAATTGCACAGAACCTGCAGTGCTGACTGTGACTGTGTTCAGTGGCATGTCATTTGTAAGGACAAAATAAAGTGCCCCGGCAGTCGGTCTAGTATGTTAACCCTTTAATTCCCAATAGTGACCAAGATCAATTTTCTCCTAACAATATCCATACACTGTCAAGAGATGCGTTATGAGAATAAATAAAATGATCATCTAAGAGAAAATGCCTTGATCTATTATCAAATTCTCTCAACTAATTATTAAAGGAAATGTATGGAGATCAGTTTGGAGAATTTGCATGTTGATACTGGGGCTTAAAGGGTTAAGTAAATACATTGTGGCAATTGGCCCCTACTAATCATTTTTTTCTTCTTATCTAGGTACAGTCTGTAGGTGGTGGAACATGTTTCATCCCTTACCATGGACTGCTTTTGAAGATGACAAAGCTCACTTCTGGGTCCATTATGGCCTCTGTGCATTTGCCCTCTTGTTAGCAGTGGTGACATTCATTGCTCAGTGGACAAAACCAGCTCCTTATGGACGACATGAAAAATCTGGCAAGTCATGTGGCCCTATGGTGCATCAGAGAATAGCCCACACAATATCTGACGCTATCCCAGGGGTTCTTGTTTTTACCCTGGTATTCTTTTTATATGGCCGTCAGAGAGAATATACAAACATAACATTCTATTGCTTATGGCAGTGTCATTACATTCATCGTGGATTTATACACCCGTGGATTATGAAATACAGCAGTCCAACGACCCCTATTGGAATACCACTTGGAGGGTTCTTCCCCAATCTCCTTTACAGCTTTCTCAATTCTGATTGGATTGGGGCAGCAGATTACAGTGACAATTACTACAAGGACCCTCGGTTTATAATTGGCATAGTTTTATTTGTGGCAGGCTTCATCATCAATCGCTATGCAGACTTAACACTTCGCAAGCTAAGAACAAACTACAGTGAAGGTTACTCCATTCCGCATGGGTGTTTATTTGAAGTCATATCGTGCCCTAATTATTTTGGTGAAATGCTGGAATGGTTTGGTTGGGCTTTGGGAACTTGGTCCCTTGCCGGGTTAGCTTGGTTTTTATTCAGCAGTGCAACATTTGTTCCTCGTGCCAGGCATAATCACCAATGGTATAAGAATCAATTTCCTGATTATCCAGCTGATCGAAAAGCTTTGATACCATTTGTATATTGAAAAGACAGATGAGTAGATTATTGTGAAAATTCCTTTCAAATTACTGGTTAAAGCAAGAAAGTGAAGCTTTGGAAATAAAACCCAAGGCTTTGTATACTGACAAATTGTGAGTATACAAATATTCATAATTACTCTGCTAAACATTGAACTGGCAATTTCTTTCTGTCAGCAAGGTGCAGATCTGTCATAACCAATAAGGTTTAAAAAAAATGACCTGTTAGCAACTCATGGAAGAAATGAAAAAATTAAATAATTATTTAATGAAGGTTTTTTAATTTGTGAAAATGTGACAGCATTTTTATACCTCCAATTTTTTGGGAAAAATTATCATAAAGAATTAATGATAAGATGAAACAGATCCAAAGGAGCAATTTTTATGCCGTACAATAAACTCACAGTTTAATGTCGTGTCAAGTTGAAAACTCTCAACTGTGGTTTGTGTTCTTAACGTGGTAAAACGCTTCTGCTGTTTAATTGAACTATACGTACTTCTTAAATAAAATATCTGCAGAAACTTTGTTGTTTTGGTCATTAAAATTAACACTCTTACCCCCCATTAGTCAGCTATAGAGACATGATCCCAACAGAATGTATAAGATTCAGGAGAACTGCTCACCCTCCCCTCTCCTTATGCAACATTTTGCCCCATAGTGAGAAGCTAGCACTTGTTAACAGCGGGTTAGGGGAGGGGCAGGTGGGGAGTGTCCCAGAATCGTATACTGTTTGAAACACACTTTTGACTTTTAAGTGTTTGCACAAAATCCTCAAATAAAACCTCTCCAGTAGTAATTTTTCCAGGGTGCTAGTGTAGTTTAATTTAGCTTTTTTCCTGTTCATGGCCCAGGAATAATAAAGATTGGGATTTTGCCGGTTTGCTGGTAATGTCCAAGAATGGGGTACATGACCGAAGTTTAGGCATGGCGTTTCTGCTGAGGATTTGAAACCTTGAAATTGGTGAGGACCAAAAAACACCAAGATAACTACCTTTAGTAACTACCCTGTGAACAGGCCATTAAACTGAAAACTTCCTCTCAACTCAAAATGTCGCATTTATTGCTTGTGTGCAGTGGACAGCCAAGAAATGTACCAAAACGTGTGATGCACACGTGCAAAGTTGTTGTTTTTGGTGATTAGATTTGACCCAATGATTTTTTTTCTACACAGTCTGAATCTGAGTGGAGTCGTTGCCGCTGCTGTCGTGAGTTTTGTAAACTCCTTATCTTGACACTGCTTGACAGGGCTTTACTGGTAAATTTTCCCGAAATTCTGGCTATCGAGTTAAATAAAAGGGTTTAACATGCAGTTCTTCACAAAACTTTACGTGCACGTGCAATGCTTTTTTTTTTTGATTGGTTAACAAAAAACAGACGATACCTAATTAGGAAAATCTTCGTCGCCAATATTGCTTGGCGCCAAAACTATGAAGCACACGCAACGTTGACAGCGAAAATTTTGTCACAAGGAGAAAAGAAAGTTTCAGAACGGAACGAACTGACACCGTCCTGCTCTGGTAAGCTTATTGTTGTCCCAGTTGTATCATAGTGTTTTCAGCTTTGAGGTTTCTTAAATTAATAATGATTTTGTAAACCTTGGGTAAAGTTTTACGTTGAGCTGCAAAAAATGACCGCAAACTCCTGTATTAAAATGGGAAATCTTTACAACTATTTTGCCAAGCAAACATTTGTCAAGTTTCGTTTACATACACAGGAGCAAAAAGGCACGACTTTGCAAGTTTTCCTAACCCATTTTTTCGCTTTTAAAATGGTTTGCTCCCACAAGACCTTTTTAAAGAAATTATTTGAAATGTTAATTAACCTCTTGCAAGTCCCAAATGGTTTGCCTAGAGGTGTATGTGGTAAACAATCCATGTTAGCTTGATTGCTACATAGGCACGTGCAGTAAGAAAAACCAATCAGAATTATTATTCAAATCAAAACGTTGCTCCGCGCCACATTCAAAAATTGGCAACTTTAGTTGTGAGAGTTGGCTAACGTTGCTCACGAAGGAGAAACAGGACGCTCTAGTTTACTCTGCCTAGCCGTCTTTCTCAGCTTCACAAAGAAAGCTAACTGTCAACGAAGCAGTCTGGGAGGTCAAAACCAGCGCACGACTGAGGTAAATTATACTTGTGTCACTTGTTAAATTTATCGTCTAAACGGTTGAAATTTGTGTTTCGACGAGTCCAACGTAAAATTAACTTATTTCGTTGTCGAATGTTCTTGTTTTAAACTAATTTCAGTTCTCAAAGGACAAATAGCGAGTAGACACGAAGCCAAATGCTCCCTCAGCAAAATTTATTTATAGTTTATCATTTTGAAAGCCTTGTGTAGTTAACACGTGGCCGTCTAAAATGCGAGCGAAGCTTAGTGGAGTTTTAGATATCGGAAAGTAACCTACCTCATTTTGCTCTTCATCCAAATTCATATTGGTGACACAGACAGTAATTCGCCGTAAAAAAACGACAAATTTGATTCATTTTCTTTTCCCGGTATACAACATGACAGAGATTTTGATGAAGTTTAATAACCTAGCCGACAAAACATGGCCACCTTTCCTACTTTAAATGATATTGACCAATAAAAGTTATAACAAAAAGCCTCAAAGTTTGCAGAAGGTTTTTTTAAGTTTTTTTTTT